TGTCATAAAGGCTATCATTAATACATCAACAAACAATAAGTGCTGGCAAGGATGTGGAGAAAAAACAACCCTTGAACATTGTTGGTGAGAATGCAAACTGGTACAACCACTATGGAAAACAGTTTCCTCAAAAATGAAAAATGGAACTGCCATTTGACCCAATAATCCCACTTCTAGGAATATATCCTAAGAAGCTAAAACACCAATCAGAAAGTGTGTACGTAACCCTATGTTCCTAGCAATGTTATTTACAATATCTAAGATCTGGAAACAGCCCAAGTGCCCATCAATAGATGAATGGATTAAAAAAAAAACTGGCACATATATACAATGGAATACTATGCAGTGTAACAAGGAAGGATCCCTTACTCTTTGAGACAGCATGGAGGGACCTGGAGAGTACTATGCTAAATGAAATAAGTAGACAGAGAAAGACAAGTATCACACGATACCACTTTTATGTGAAATCTAATGAAGAAAATAAACTGACAAGCAAAATAGAACCAGACACTGAAGCATGCAACACACTGATATATTTCAGAGGGAAGGCCAAAGGCGGGAATAGTTAAATCAAGAACTTACATGCATACATGCATAACCCGTGGACACAGACAATGGTGCAGTGAAGAGCTGGGGAGGAGGCAGGAGCGGGGTGGAGGGAATTAATGGATGGGGGGAAAGGGAACATTGTACTCCTTTCGTCAATAAAGATAATTTTTTTAAAATCATCAGTAAACAGAAGGGACTAGTTCAACAAAAAATAGTAAATCCATAGATGGAACCCATAAAGTAATTTAAAAAGAACCAGGTTACTGTGATCAGGCCCCTTGAACATTCTCAAAGGTACACTACAAAGCAAAAAGAGCAAGATGTATATATAATACAGTATTCAGAGTATGTTACTACTTATGTAAAAAAATGAAGGCAATATATTTTATTACATATAAATATCTCTGCAAAGCTGCACAAGGTAGTGACAATTCTTGTTGCCTCAGGGGTGGAACCAGGTGGCTGGCAGAAAGACAACTTTTCAACCATATGAATGTTGTACTTATTCAAAACATTATTTAAAAGCCATTTTTAAATGAAATATTTTTAACCTCATTATAAGCATCTGCTTCACGTGTTAAAAAAAATGCAACTATTGCCCTGGCTGGGTGACTTGGTTGGAGCATCATCACATACACCAAAAGGTTACAGGTTCCATTCCTGGTCAGGGTACATTACTTAGATGGCAGGTTCGATCCCTGGTCAGGGAGTATGCCAGAGGTGACCGATCAGTGTTTCTCTTATATCAATGTTTTCTCTGTGTGTGTGTGTGTCTCTCTGTCAAATCAATAAAGTATATCCTCGGGTGAGGATTTAAAAAATGCAACTATTAAACATACTGATACTGTAAGGGGGGACGCTTTGGATTGATAACAAAAAGCTCAATTATAAATTGGAGTTACAATTAAAATGCTATCTTGGCAGTCGTTTAATAGTAATTATGCCTTTTTAAGGTTTAGAATGGCTTTTGGGAGACAACTTGAATGACCCAAGCGTATCTCAAATTTTACAATGCAGTCCAAATGTTACCACAACTATTCTCTCACTGAAAACATTTTCGTGAAGGACTTGCTCAATGTTTCTCCCGTGTACTCTCTCTTCCTCAATTTATTTAAAGCTACAAGTGCTGCCAGTCAGTAGCAAACCAAAGCACCACCACAGGAAATAATAAATGTCATTGTCACTCACTTTCACGGTTCTTTGCTGTAGCTAACTTTGGCTCTCTTACAGTCCACCTGCCGGAAAGAAGTTGGAGCAGGTACTCAGATCATTTGCCCTGTAATGAGAGGCTCATGTCCAGGAGCCCGACCCCCTGTAAGACACAACATCCCAAACATGTCTTCCCAAGAACTATACAACCTTTAGTGAATTTCCTAAAGATGGATTTGAACTCCCTTCCCTCTGCCTCCAACCCCTGGAAAGCACTGTGTTTATAGCTATAGACATTCTGCTATGAGACAGAACTAATGCCCCCTGGTGCTCTGGGGTATAAAGAGGACCTGGTGGTCAGCCAGATATCGGCACCACCATCAGACAGAAAGCCATTTTTGTAAGTTGGAAAGTGTTTCACTTTTACCCAAAATATACACTACTCTACCTCATTTCTAGACTACACATAGACACAGAAGGGTTTTGTGCATTTTTAAAAGCTGGCTACTATCTAGAACTTTGACAGTTTAAGTTCTATAAATAAAACATTTATTTGAATCAAAGTCTCAAATAAATGAAACTAAAAATGATGTTCACAACACCAAGGCTCATTAAAATATTTTTTAATATTAATATACTTTCTTCTCTCAGAAATACACAAAACTTTTAAATATTACATTCATATTACACAACAAAATCCTAATGACATCAATAACTTACGTTTTACAAACAGAATAATCTACACATTCAAAAATACTTTCAATAACTTTTTCACTCATATTTTCAGGTTAGTACAGACCCATGTGGAATGAGGGTTGCTTTAATTAGGGCAGTTATTTTTGTAATTTCAGTTTTTCACAGCTTCGTGCACATGCAATCTCACTGTTGATGAAATAGAGAATTGTAATATTTCCCATTTCTTAACAGTCTTGTTATGGAACAGAAAAACATATCCTATGTGCTCCATTTCTTGGAGTCGGTTGTTATGAAGAACCGTTAGGGCTTGTCTCTTCTGAATGGTTTCTGAATGCTTTAAATACGCTTACTCCAAGATTTGAATAATTGCCTAGTCCAGTGGTCAGCAAACTGCGGCTTGTGAGCCACATGCGGCTCTTTGGCCCCTTGAGTGTGGCTCTTCCACAAAAACCACGTGTGGATGAGCACGTACAGTGCGATTGTAACTTCGTGGCCCATGCGCAGAAGTCAGTTTTCGGCTCTCAAAAGAAATTTCAATCGTTGTACTGTTGATATTTGGCTCTGTTGACTAATGAGTTTGCCGACCACTAGCCTAGTCTATTTTTCCTGGATGTGTTACTTCTAGAACATGAGCAGATGGTGTGTAGGTTTTCAAATTAATGGGTGAGGTAGTTCAATCAATGTAATCACAGAGGCTTGAAGTGTAAAGGGAAAAAAAAAAACAAACCCAAAAGCTTTTTCTATTAACCAAAATGTACATATTTCTAACTCATCCATTACAATCTTTGGAGTGGTAAGAGAAAAGAAAAAACAAAGAGGGCATGATGAATCCTGAGAGTACATGTAAGGGAAAGGATGAAAATATCTCACCTAAATGGCTGTTCTGTAATAAAAGTTTTCCCCAGAGTAGGCTGCCTCATTTATATTTCTGTTTTCCAACTTTCTGAGTTACAAGAATCCTTTCAATAGATACCACACACATATATGCAGCATATTATATACACTATTGGCACTGGCCAACAATTTAAAATACTCATGAAGCACACATAAATGTAAGGCACCTTTGCGGTTTACAAAAGTGAATGCCTCAAAGTTGGGTATTTTCTAAAAATGAAGCAATAGGATCCCTGAAAAACCAAGTCGGCATGAATCACTAGTGATCTTGGCCAACATCTGAGAATCTTGGTGTAACTCAAGAGCAGAGATAAGAGGTAAATAATTTTTAAATTACAGAGTTCTGTATATCAGTTCTGTATAGCATTCTAAAACTGCTCTCATAAAAACCTATCAGTTCTATGTTCTTTTAGTTTCTCAACCAGAGAAAACTGATAAGTTGGCAACAATCATTCGTAGTGTACTGCTGTTTAGATTTAGTGATGACACCACACCAAGTTATTTATAAAGAGCTGGGAATAAAAAACATTTTGCATTTCTCTGAAAATTCTACAGTTCAATAGAATCTTACTCAAACTACTTAAAATGTGAAATTTCATGTATATTTTAAATCAAGAATTCCCAAATATAAATATTGTTGCTCTAAATGTGAATTTTTCTCTGATTAAAATTAAAAGGTCTGGCCCTAACTGGTTTGGCTCAGTGGATACAGCATTGGCATGCAGACTGAAGGGTCCCTGGTTCAATTCCAGTTAAGGGCACATGCCTGGGTAGTGGGCTCGATCACCAGTAAGGGCATGCAGGGGGCAGCTGACCAATGAAATGATTCTCTCTCATCATTGATGTTTCTATAGCTCTCTCCTTCTACCTTCCTTTCTGAAATCAATAAAAATTAAAAACCAAAAACTAAAACTAAAAGGTTTGTAACCTATATTTTCTTATATACAAATATAGGTTTGTAACCTATATTTATGAGAGACCAAAAAGCTTACTCTAAAGCCAAAAAAATTAAGAGGATAAGCAAATTTTTGTGCCATCATTCCCAGAAATTCCAAAAGAGCTGAATCTCTAGATTATGGTTGGTAAGGGCAACGTCAATTAAGAAAGTCAAGTCCTGGTCAGCATTGCGCAGTGGTTAAAGCATTGGCTCACACACCAAAGGGTCGTGGGTTCAATTCCTGGTCAAGAGCACGTACTTGGGTTACAGGTTCTATTTCCGGTTCAGTTGCAGTTGAGTGTGGGAGGCAACCAATCAATGTCTCTCTCTCATATCAATGTTTCTCTCCCTCTCCCTCTCCCTCCCTCTCTCTCCCCTTCTCTCTCTCTCTCTCTCTCTCTCTCTCTCTCTCTCTATATATATATATATATATATATATATATATATATATATATATCCTCCACTCTCCTCCCTTCCACTCTCTCTGAAAAGCAATGGAAAAAATATCCTCAATGAGGATTAACAACAACAAAAAGAAGTCAAGGATTCAGGACAGGTACAACTGTACCTTTCCTCTTTATTCACTAAGTAAAAGAACATGGTCTTTAAAAACTATTTCTGTTATATCAGTTTAACAATTCAGTGGTTATTACATGAGATAACTAAAAATGCCACTTTCAAATCATTTTTTAGAAATTAAAGAATTCAATTAGTACGTTCTTGTGGATGTTGCTGAATGTGGAGATTAAAACATGTAGCTAGCTCCTTCCATTATTTATAGTTTAAATCTCTGTTGTACTTCATCTGCAATCATTCCAGAAATTGCAAGGGACGAAGTGGCAGCAGGGGACGGTGCATTTCTCACATGAAGAATGCGACTTCCAATAATCCCATCTCCTCCATCAAATACAAAATCGTCTACCAGATTTCCATCTTGATCCAGAGCTTGGGCTCTTACTCCAGCTGGACCTCTGCAAAACCAAAAGTGGCAGTCAGTTGACTGGAAGAAATAGGACACTTTATAAGTCAGTGGTCTCAAGGTATTCTGAAAGCATTAAAGTCTTTATACTTCTAAATGCACAATCATGTGGAAACCCAATAGACTTGTCAGTTATAGCCTATAAACTTATATCCTTAATACCTGCCATGTAACAGTGCCAATAAATGCTCATCAAATGAATTTACCAATGGGTAAGTTACAAATATCTTTTCTTTCCAAAGTAGCAGATAAATCCATATTTAATTAGAATAAATGTATTTTTATTTAAATGTATAAAATGAATTTATTATAAATTAAAATAAGGCTCTTCTGATTAATACAAAGCAATAAAAGTAGGAGATATGCATGCCAATGCATTCCTAAATCCACCATAGAGTTCTATTTTTGCGTTTTGTTTTGACTGTACACTATTAGAATTTATGCAGAAAAATATTTGAAAATGGCAGCAATTTCTTATTTTGAAGGTTGTTTTAATTTTTAACAGTTTGGCCTTCAATACTGGACTAACCTTCAATTATTTAAAAAGATAACAAGATAAGAACAAAAATGAATTAATTTGATAGTATGTTAAAACAGTAAGAGACTTTACTACTAAAGTGCTGTTTTATAACATGAGATTACAAATTAGATTTTTTGTTTTTAAAGTAGTTTAGAAATTTACAGATGAAATGTGAGTAAAATATTTTTAGACTCCAAAAGCACCTTCACTGAATCTGCTCAAGAAAACACAATTTGAAAATACCTGCCTTATACACACCACCAAAACTCAAGAAATGGGACAATAAATTAATAAACATTTTTATTGATTCTGGGCCAGCGCAGGTAAGTACTTAAGTAAAATACTGAGAACAATCTGGGGGCTCTGCCCTCTGAGACCTCAGCGTGGCTGAGGAGAGATAATGATAATAATAGCTATTATTTACCAATTGCTTACTCAGTGTTAAGAATTCTCTCATTTAATCCTTGCAACAACTCTAAGAGGCTGGTAACAGTTTATACTTAACAGTGAAGAAACATAGAGTGATAAAGTAACCTGCCTGAAGTTACACAGCTAAACTATTCATATGCAAGAAGTAAAAATAACAAGGGTGAAAGGTTCTACAATAAAGATAAGTAATCTGCCTTACAGAAGCCTGCAGAGAAATCTGGACAAGATTTTTTTGAACTGAAAGGATTTCCACGAATCAGATACTTAGAACACAAGATACAGTCAGCCAGCCCTAGCAAGTGTGGCTAAGTTGTTAGAGCATAGGCCCACATGGTGTACATGGGCTGCAGGTTTGATCCCCCGCCCCATTGGGGAAATGCGCGGGAGGCAACAAATCAATGTCTCTCTCACATCGATGTTTCTCTCTCTTCCCCCACACCCACTTCCTGTAACACAAGTATTCTGTAATGGGGGTGGGGGAGTCTTATGAATCCACTACATCAAGTGTTATTCAAATGTATATTTTATTTGCTTGATGTCTTCTATCAATAGACCTAAGATCACTCACCACAGTTGTGGATTTGTTGTTTTCTGCTTACAGTTGTGTTAGTTTTTATTTTCTGTACTTCATTTATATATATGCAATAAATTTATGGTGATCCTCTTAACCTCTAATAATAATTTTTGCTTTATGGTGTATTTTATCTGAAATGAACCCAGTACTCGTCTTTCTTCTAATAAACATTTGGGTAGTATATAGATGGATTTTTAAAATCCAATCTAACAATCTCCATCTCAAACTATTAAGTACATTTACATGTACTGTAATTACTGATATGTTTGATTTCTACCATATTACTGGGGTATTACTGGGGGGTTTCTGGTATTTTCACATTTTCTTCTTGACTTACTAAGTTTTCTATATTCTTTTTTCCTCCTTTACTGACTTGAAAGTTATATAATCTATTTCTATTCTTGCATTTAATTTTATTTATTCAGATGAGATTCACTTGCATCCTGAATTTTGTCTTTTTGTCAATTCCAGAAAATTCTTAGGCACTCTTCAAAGTATTGCCTCTTCTCAATTTCTCTGGAACTTCTCTGAAATGTAGGCTGGATTCTTCTCATTTTCTTTTTGATGTCTTTAGTACCTACCCACATGATAAATCTTTGTCTTGCAACATTGTTCTATAGTAAATGCTTCAAATTTTAATTTACTGATTTTCTCTTAAAGTTTAACCAGTTATCAAACTTAGTCATTTGAATTTTAAAATTTAAGAACTATATTTTTCATTTCTAGAAATTCTAATTATTTGGTTTCCAAATTTGCCTAAATTTTGCTTTTTTGTTTTTGTTCTTATTCATGTTTTCCATTCCTTTTGTTTTTAATTCACTGAAGCATATTTACTTTATGGTTTCTAATATTACCATTACTCAAAGTTGTGGGGTCTTATTCTGGTATTTATTCTATCTGCTTATTCTCACCTATGGTGTTTTATAACTTTCGGTGAAGAGTTTCTGTTCAGCAGGACTTTATCTGGGGGAAAATTGTGGGGTTGGGTTGAGGTTTTGTCCCTTCACAGAGGTTTTACATTTGCTTCTATCCGGTGCTCCAGAGGTATTGCCATCCTGGGAACACTTTTTTTTTAATGGAATTTTAAAACATGCACAAAAATAGAATGAACAGTATAATGAACTCCCGTGTATGTATTATCCAGATTCAATAAATCATCAACATAGCCAATCTTGTTTTATTTATATTTACACTCACTGCCCACCTCTCTTCACTGGATTATTTAAAAGCAGATTACAGCCGAGACCGGTTTGGCTCAATGGACAGAGCATCGGCTTGGGGACTGAAGAGTCCCGGGTTCGATTCCGGTCAAGGGCATGTACCTTGGTTGCGGGCATATCCCCAGTAGGGGGTGTGCAAGAGGCAGCTGATCGATGACTCTCTCTCATCGATGTTTCTAACTCTCTATCTCTCTCCCTTCCTCTCTGTATAAGATCAATAAAATATATATTAAAAAAAAAAATTTTAAAAGCAGATTACAGATGGCACATCATTTCACTACAGTGTATATTTCTTTTAAAATAATTCTTTTTTAAAAATGTATTTTTATTGATTTCAGAGAGGAAAGGAGCGGGAGAGACAAAAACATCAATAATGAGAGAGAATCATTGATCAGCTGCATCCTGCACACCACACAATGGGGATCAAGCCTGAAACCTGGGCATATGCCTGACTGGGAATTGAACCATGACCACCTACATATATGTTCATCCACTGGGCCACGCCAGCCAGGCTAAAAAAAATATTTTAAAAATAAATAAATTATTGTTTAAACTCCAAACAGCTATGAGGAGAGGCCCAGGGTTCCAGATTTTTAGGAGATTCTACCCACCCTGCTTTCCCCTTTCCCTCAAAACCAGGACAGATAAAATTCCTTAACACGTCCTGGTGCTAAGGGGATTTTTTTAAGACTTCCTGTTCACTGAGAGTACAGCCCTTCAAGAGTCCCTGGACCTCTTTTCCAGGGACTCAGTTCCAACTTTTTACTTTTACAGATCCAAGGCCTCCTTTCCAGCACTTGAGTAGCAACTAAAATACAAGTCCCTAAAGTTTTATATCTTGTTTTCTGTGGTTGATACATGAGTTTATACAAATGGAAAAATTCACTGACCACTTAAGATCTGCATTACTTTAATTTAAATCACAAAGCAATTAAAAACAAAACATAGCTATATTTATATAAAAATTAGCTAACCCTCCCCACCCCTCCAGGACAGCAGCAAGCACCAATTCCTCTCAATATTTGGGTTTTCTACTTCCCTTCAGTCCTTGTTCCTGGGATACCCCTTACTTTCTCGCACTCCCGGCTATATGTATTTCAAAGGATTTTTATTATATTTTCTCTAGACTCTCTTCGTGTTGGGTAGTGTGAGGGTTATCAAATTTATTAGTTTACTGGTTCTCAACCAAGAGAGATTTTGCCCCCTAGAGGACTTTTGGTGATGTCTGCAGAAATTTTTGGTTGTCTTAACAAGGAAGTACTGCCGGCATCTAGTCAGTAGAGGTCAGAGATGCTGCTGAACATCCTACAGTGAACTGGACAGTCTCCCACAACAAAGACTTATTTGGCCCCAAATGTCAAAAGTGCCAATACCAACAAACCCTGATCAGGATCACCTTTACTGCAGGAATATTTGGCTCTCACCTTTGCATTTCACAATGACACAGTATAGTCTTTAGCTATCACTCACAATAAAAACATCTTGCCTAAAAATTTACTCTAGAATTCCCCAAGTAAGAAATTTTTCAAAGTGAAGAGTGAGACAAGAGGAGATCTTGGCATTTATGTCTTTCTCTTTTACATCCTTGCAATGTTAACAGATACAAACTGCTGTTAGATTACCATGTCCAAATTAACAACAGAGCAAGTTAAAGGACTTTAGAGCAAAATTAAGAACCTTTGAAATCAGATTTAACGAGAAATCTTTATGCCTAATGCATATATATTGACAGATTATAACGTTACATTCCAATCTAGTGTTCACCAGTTAAGTTACTGACCAAGATACTCTGGCTAGGCAATGAGAAGTCAAGCCGGATGCTCATTGGTGGTTACTGCAATTTAAAAACAGCATCCTGAGCTAAATATCCCACTAAAAGTGCTACTTCAGTTCTCTTTTATGATCCAGAACTGCTTAATATGCTTCTGTCTCAATATTACTGGTACAGCATTGATGTTTTTACCACGATGGGTTGCATGATAAGCAAGATCTGGACTTCATAATGCGGGAAAGTCTATTAATCATTTTTATTATCATTGTTTAATATTTCAGACATATGACAAAGTACAGAGAATAATACGATGAACACCTGTTTTCTTAACAATCAGCTTAAGAAATAAAGCATTATAGATATGATAACAGCCCCTGTGGAACTCTCTGGATCCCATTCCCTTCTCTCCCCAGAGGTAACCTGAATTAGGTGTTTACCACTGCATTTGTTTTTATTTTCACATTACATGTGCAATCCATAAATAATATGTGGTATCGAATAACTTTATATAAATGGTATCAAACATATATTCTATAACTTTCTTTTTTATTGATAATTTCCCACATTTAGTCATGATAAAAACTGAATAAAAGGGAAGGAGTAAATGGAATTATTTCTCTATCTCCAAAGAGAAACTAATCTGTGATTGGGGTGAGTGTGTCTCTAAATGCACCTGCCTACAGTGCTGCATACCCTTCTCTACTACCTGCTAATGAAACTGGTAACTGAAATCAGCACCCTCACACCCAGAGACAGAGAAGTGTTCTGCAAAACCCACCAGCCCAGTCCAGTTCTAACTTAGGAAATCCACTGGTCTAAAGCGTTCCCCTCAGGCTTTTACAAAAGGGTGGTAATCAAATATGAGTACTAGTGAATTCACTGCAACTATTTATACACCTATTGTCTTTTCCAAGGAATATCAATAGCAGTAACAGACACCAGATTTGACCAACTTATTTTCAGATATAAAACATAAGTTTGCTAAAGCAAACCACTAAAAACAGAAAAGCCTTTTTTTAAATTTTATTTAGATGAGTGAAAGAAAATAAAGCTTAGATATTTTTATTCCTTCCATTTCTAAAGGTAAGTAGAGGGGTGAGAGAGATAAGAGTAAAACATTAGCTGGGTTTTAGTAGTTCTTCTAAGGATTCAAAAAGGCTGGTCTGCGAATGATACATTAGCCAGACTGAGCAGGATGTTCCCCTTAGGGAGACAGCGGACGTGATGACTGCTCTCTTCCCAGATAGCCAAGCTGCTGACATTTTACACCAGGCAAGTTCTGCAGCTGTTACCGAGGCGACAGACATTTAGTTCTCTGAAGATTCATGGGATGGATTCATGGAGGGGAGTACCTCAGAGGACACTGCTGATGAGGCCTAACAAATAGCTTATTCGGGGAGGAAAAGGTGAGCTCCATACAAATGTCACCAAAGAGAAAAGGAAACAGGTAGTATTTAGGACAATTTACAGATCTAGTTCAGAAAGCTTTTGACCTTTAAGAAAAAAAACCAAGACAAAACAAAACAAAAAACCCCACCAAAACAATTTAAGTAATCCTTCCTTTGACTCACATTGATAGTTACTACACTACTTCCCACTTCTTTCCTGAAAATATAGTCGCTAAGTGGAATAGGATCCCCCAAACGAAAAGAAGCAGTAGAGAAGAAGCAAAATAAGATGCCAAGTGCAGGAGTGTGTTTCTAGAAGGTTTTAAGAATCAAACAAAATAGTACTGTAATGTGTTTATTACCTAATTAGGCAATGTGGTGACCATTGATCTTACACAGAACTAAAGTAAAAAGGCTTTGGAATCACAAGAGGCCAAGGCCAGGGAGATCTTAAAAATTTCAGACAAGCCCTGGATGGTATGGCTAGTTAGTTGGCATCATCCTGTGAACCAATTGGTTGCCAGTTCGATTCTGCTTCAGGGCACATACCTAGGTTTTGAGCTCAATCCCTGGTAAGGGGTGTGCAGGAGGCAGCCAACTGATGTTTCTCTCTCACATTGTTCTCTCTCTCCTCTCCCTTTCCCCCTCGTCCCCTCCCGCCCCCCAACCATCTCCCTTCTTCTCTAGAAATCAATAAAAAATCTTTTTGAAAAAATTTCAGGTAAGATTTTTTTTTTTTTATGAGTGATAGCTAGACACGAGGTGACGGTGGCATATCAATACAGATGAGATGGAGATTTTCGTTTAATGCTGTAAGGTAGTCTAGATAATTATAAATGGTAGATGTAGTCCCAGCACTGAGGGCCACCATGCAGCGATACCCAACTCATCCACTGCAAAGGGGACACAACAACTTGCTGGGAAAGGGAGCACACAAAGATTCAGAGGACACACTGACTGACAGGGAGCCTATGAATCACCAAGCCAGACCCACCTCCCAAGTTCCCCTAAATCATGACTGTTTATAACACTGATGGCTTTTTCTTACCTTCGTATATCGCTGACAGTAATTTCAGGGATAAACTTCTGAAGGTGCTTCACCGTGGCACTGAGAAAACAGGCTTTATACATCTCACTGACTCCATAGGAGAAATTCTGGGACACCAGTTTAATCAAGCCACTGGAAACAGAAAACAAAACCTTTGAGAGAAAGGAATCCTTTATTACTATGAAACATCTTTACAACTATTAGACTTGGACAGGGGCATCACAGAAATCTAGGCGAAGTCAGAAAAACCACATATTAAAAGAAAATCAACCTTTGGCCACTAGAAAAAGGAAGCCTCATCAAAGGAAAGAAACCAAAACCAAAGGTAAACACCTTTCACACTTAGATGACCTGAGAATGCTGGTTTCAAACTAGAATTCTGAGGCGCCTGCCAACCAAAAGGCTTTCTGATACAAATGTTACATGCTTTCAAAACATGCCTTTACCTCAGGACATTAAAGGAGTAAAATAGATGTTTACCACTTTTTGTTTGTTTGTTGTTTTTATCAGCCAGAGGTAAGATATTCCAGTAATGATTCTCCCATGAGACTTTGTGTAATCTATGTATATATGTATTTTTAAGCACACATGCTAGAAAACTCCATCCCAAACCTGTTTCAGAATCTGTAGAAGGTAAAATTCAAGTACAGCTTAAAAAAGCTTTCTAGCAATTTTGATGTGAAAACCTCTGGAAAGCAACACTGCTAAAATGAACCTTTCCCCCCAAAACACACACAACACCTTACTGAGTTCTTACAATAAAGTAAAGATTCTGTGTTTTGAGTCAACACATTGTTAATTTTCCACAGATGGAAACAACTTTGTTTCTCCGAAGGTTCTCCAGTGGTTTTCAAAATGATGGTGACTGGCTTGAAATCACTTTATCAAAGTAAGCCATCTACTGATTTTGAAACTTTTCCCCCGCCCCCAAATGCAACTAGAAGGCTAGCAAAACGAGGTTTGGATTGTCACATACGTATGTGACTAGGTCTTGGTCTTGTTATTTTTAACCAAGACTTCACCCTGGATCATCAGAATTTCCCTGAGGTACTTAAAGCATTATTCTTATTCTTCAAAGCTCTTAATTTAAATTAATAAAAAATCAACATAATAATCACAAATGTGAGATTTTACCTAATAAATAGAATTTTAAGAAAGGCAAAATTTCACATGCTAAAAATATTAACACATACAATCACTTTTTAAAGAAGGTTAGTTACCTCTTGGTAATTACATCCATAATATCTCTGGCACTGAAGTCAAAGGGTTTGTAGCCTTCTCGTTTAAAGGCAAGAACTGCATTAGGCCCTAGCCAAATGCTGCCATCCATCCTGGGTGTGAAGTGGACTCCTAGGAAAGGAAACCGGCTATCTGGGACCTACGGATTTAACACAGCAAAGAACTGTTAGCTTTTATTTACACTTTTCTGCCTAGGAATCCCACACAGAAAACACTGATGCTATTGACACTAATATACATTCCCATCTATTCCTCTTTCTAGGTAAGGATAAAAAGAAAAAGAAAAAAAGAACTGTCCTATAATACTTCAGGTTATTCCCCAGCCTACTCTCCCAACACACCTCCAACTCGAGATGTATGTGGTTGGCCAGTAAAATCAGAGCTACCAGAGGCTTTTGCAAAGTGGGAATGTACTGGGATAGAGCACATGCAATGGATGTTTTGGCAAGGTCAAAAACGCTAAATAGGGGAGTAAATACTGGCTCAACCTAGTATTTCCATGCAGAATGAACTCTTCCTTTAAAGGGCTCTGTCTTCTCCAACATGAACTACAGAGTGGCCACAGCCCCTTTTTCTGCACCTATGGGTAGAACTGAGAGAAAGGGCTGGGTATCTGGGCATGCAAAAAGGGCAAGTTCTCTTATGAGTATTCCCTCCACCAGATAGGAGGGAGAATTGGGTTATTTCTTGCTAGCCCTTCCCATGATGCACTCATGCTTTCTGAAGACATGTACTTGTGGACAATTTAGTATAAGTTAATGACTATAATATCAGAATAAATATTTGGGAATTTAACCATAAGAGAAAAAGATAAAAAGTCCTTCAAAATATCTCTTAGTGCTGACCCAGATAAAAGTTTTTGTTTCATTCCCTTTCTGCCCCGTCATCTTGAGAAGGATGAGACTGAAAAAGCATCATACCTACCGGATAAATATTTCCTTTCACAAGGTAGCATTTTTCTGGCTTCAAGAGCAGGTAATCCCCCCGGAATGGTACAATTTGAGGATCAGGACTGCAGCCACTCAGCTCAGAAATACGGTCTGAGTAAAGTCCTGCACATGTCACAACATACTGACACTGAACTTCCTCTCCCTGGTGTGTAAGAGAAGAACGGTGATTTTTAGTAAGCAGAAAAACAGGTGATAGAAGAGACAATAAATAAGTATACAGAAAAGGACATTTTTCTTTTTATTCCTTTTTAAAAGGGAAATTAAATGCAAGTATCAGCAAAACAAATTCTTCAGCATTTAGGTGGCAACTAGAAACTTAGGCTAGTGGCAAGCAAGAGGATGTCACCTTAAATTTTGTACTTTAATGATTCAATGGTTGACATACTTAGTGAGAATACTTAACAAAATACACACAACACACACACACATACACACACACACACACACACACACACACATTTTACTAAGACCATAGAACTTCTTAACTATTTGTTGCATGATGAAGCAAACTTCAGTTATATGTCCCCCTCACCAGTTTGGCTGCCTCTGTATTTCAGACAGCTTCTCCTATCTTATCTACGAGTAATTATCTTGATAATTATCAGGTTGCATCACACTATAATGGTAACCCACCACCAACCAATTTCTCCTTCCCGATCAATGTCTACTTTGCAAACGGGGGCTACTTTCAAAACCCCATTCATTCAATCCACATTTACTGAGAACACACACTACAGTCTAGGTTTGCTTTAACAACTAGGAGACAGCTAATCTTAGGCTGTGGTATTTCCCTATAAATTTTATTTATGATTATCACACACTTATTTTTAGATGAACTCCGCTAGGGTTAGCCAATTTACTCCCCTATTCCCTAAATAATTTCATGTAACCCCAATTCACCACCACACTCCAATTCCCATGTCTTTACTTCTCACACAGTAAAAACTAGCATCTCCTGGCTCAGGTAATTTCTTGTCTTTAGATTTCCTCCCCAGATGACCTGTTTCTAAAGCCTCAGAGTTCTCATCTGTCTTAATATTCTCTTTCTTTTCAGCCCTTAGTGGTTCAGCCTTATCCTAACTTTGTATACATCCTATTTTTGCTCACCTACCAAGGTAAGCCTCTTTCCAAGAGTTATGCAAGTCACACTTCTGGCAAAAATCAGATGAAACTTCTCTGCAGTGAATTCAAATTAGCTAGGCAAAACCGTGGTAGTTTTAAGACACTTTTAAGTCAAGGGATTATGTTAACAACAACAACAACAACAACAAAAAACATGACTTCTAAATTGGTTAATATCTTTCCTGTTCATCTGGAATTATATAGAAGTACAAGAAAATATTTCATGTGATATGAATCTTCCAGTCCTTACTTGAAATGCCAGCAATTCTCTCATAGACATAAAATGTAGATAAGCCATATGACAAATGTAATGATAAGAGAATTTGTAGAATGGTACCAGCATTCTAAGAATTTAACGGTTCTCAAAAAAAAACAAAAAAACAAAACAAAACAAAAACCTCAAGGAACAGTTCCAAAGGGAGATATGATTAAAAACTTATCACAGGTCTCTGAAATCATTTTATGATATAGATGAAACAATAATTACATTCACACTGATTTCACATCCAAAATGTAAATTTAGGTAAACATTGAATGATACAGCATTTGTTAAAATATATATTTCTTTTAAAAATTTAACTATTCACCTCTATTGCTATTTCATAAGTGAAACGGACTTTTCTCCTATATGCAATCTATAAATTTTAGTTTCTAAATCCTCCCTTCAAAAGTTCATTTTTTTAAAAATTCCTTTTAACCTCATAAAAGCACAGATGTTCCACTAGGCAAGTTGACTCAAATTTTTAAATTATTATTTAACTATTCTAAAGGAATATGTCAAAATGAAAGTCAACAATTATAGCAATTGTGAGTGAAATATAACCCACTGATATCCCCTGCTTATCAGCCATCATATGATGCCATACTCGAGTGAAAATAACCTGTAAGTAGGGGCAGAAACAGACTTTTAATCGTTCTTTGAATAGAAACGCTGGTTGCTCTGCCAGCAGATCTGACGGGATTCAAAGTGTCTGTGGCAGAGAGTCATGTTTTACGGAGACATTGGAAGGCCCCTGAAGGTGAAATCCGAGCACGGAACTTTACGACTTTGGACGCAAGTTATACCATCCTCTGCAGATAATTATCCTCCTTCTGAGAAAGTGCTTCTGGCTCTGACTCAGCATTTGACCACAGCCCACCAATTTTTAAGAGGGTATTGTCTGACTCACCAAGCCACAAAACTGGGTGTGTACAGTGGCACTCTGTTATCAAGAGGAAGTAGAGTATACAAGATCAAGGTTGGATAGGTTCTGCAGGCATAAATAAGCCGCAGAGGCAAGTGGCTCAAATTCTCATGATTCCTACTCCTACTATTATAAATTACCTCCTCCTGCCCTGGCCAGTGTGCTCAGTGGTTAGAATATCAGCCCACGCATTGAAGAGTTATGGGTTCGACTCCCAGTCAAGGGCATGTACCTGGGTTGCAGGTTAGATCCCTGGCCCTGGCCAAAGCATGTGTGTGGGAGGCAACCAATTGATGTGTCTCTCACATCTGTTTCTCTCTCTCTCTCTCTAAAAATCAAATATCCTTGGGTGAGAATTAACAACAAAATTACCTCCTTCCTCTCAACTTGCCTGTGTGCCCCCATGGGAAATTCTCTACACTCAGCCAAGGAAGGAAAAACAGAGGCCTGGTTTACAAATGGTTCTGCACACCATTCTGGTGCCACTCAAAAGTAAACAGTGGCAGCACCAGGGCCCCACCTGAGAGTGGCCCAAAGGTCTGAGGAAATGCTCCCAGCAGGTAGCACCTTGAACACTGTACTGGTTGTTTCTCTCTCCCAGAAGGAAAGATGGCTAGAGGTGGGCATCTATACAGTTGCATGTGCAATGACTAATGGTTAGCCTGGCTGGTTAGGAAAAGGAGCTCTGGAGAAGAGGTATGTGTGAATGGACCTCTCCAAAAAGGCTCGGAGGATAAAGGTGTTTAAGTTCCATATGGATGCTCACTGAAGAGTAATTGGGGCAGAGAAAGATTTTAATAATCACAGACAAGATGACCTACTCTGTGGACATTGGTTAGCCTCTTTCCCCAGCCACCTCTGTCCTTACCCAATAACTTCACAAACTAAATGATTATGGCAGTAAGGATGGAGGTGATGTGTGGGATCAGCAACATGGACTTACTAAGGCTGATGTGTCTATAGCCACTCAATCTGCTGTTGGGAGAATGTTCAATCTCCCAATTTAAACAAAGGGAAGGGGGGGCAGCACTTAGTCCTCACTGATATAGATTTGTCTTCCCTGCCCACAGTGCTTCTGTTGAAACCACCATCTGTGAACTTAATCAATTTTATGGTATTTTACCCAGAAGCATTACTTCTGATCAGTGAGCTTATTTTACAGTAAATGAAATATAATGATAAGCTCATGCTTGTGGAACTCACTGATGTTATCATTTCCCCCAGCATCCTGAAGCTGCTGGGTGACAAAGTGGAAAGGACTTTTGAAGATTCAGTAACAGCAGTAGCTGACTAGCAACGCCCTGCAGGGCTGGGGCAAGGTCTTCCGGATGCACTCTATGCCCTATATCTAATGACTAATATACGGTCTGTTTCTCCCATAGTCAGGAACCACAGGTCAGAAAATCAAGAGATAGAAATGGGAGTAGCACCTTACAATAATCCACTAGTTTCTGCTTCTAATCCAAATTTCTGCTTCCTCGCCCCACAACTGTGGGCTCTAATGGCAGGGAGAAATGCTTCTATTAGAGAATAAGCAATGGTTCCAATATGCTAGAAGTTAATACTGTCACACCTGGCCACTTTGAGTTCCTTGTGACAGTGAATCAAAAGGCAAAGGAGATTACTGTACTGAATGGGATAATTTTTAAAAAATATATATATATTTTTTTACTGATTTCAGAGAGGAAAAGAGATGGAGAGAAAGATAGAAACACATCACTGACAAGAGAGAATCATTGTTCAGCTTGCCTCCTGAATGCCCCCGCCTGGGATTCAAGCTCATAACCCAGGCAAGTGCCCTGACCAGAAATCACACCACCTGGGACTGAATGGGGTAACTGAAAGAGAGTTGCTACCACACCGAGAGCTTGGGAATGATACAGAGGAGTATGTGTGGGCTATGGATCTCCTGGGCTATCTCATGGTAACCCCACTGGTTGCTCTAAAAGTTGATGGAAACCACTACAACATAAAACAGGCAGGGCTGCTAATGGCAGAGACACTTCAGGAATAAAAGTTTGAGTTTTCCTGCCAAACTAGGAACCATGACCAGCTGAGAGGCTTGCCAAGGGCCAAGAGACTATGGAATAGATAGTAGAAGAAGGAAATTTATAAATATGACCACATGATTAGTGACATAAATGAGGAATATAGTTATGAGAAATGTAGTAGTTATTTCTTTCTTACTGTGAAATATATAATTAACCAATTCTTTCTTCTTCCTCATTGTTATATTATAAAATGAATTGTATCCCCTTTCCCCCCCAAATTCATATGTTGAAGCCTCAACTCCCCATTTGACTATGCTTAGAGATAGAGCCTTTAGGGAGATCATTAAGGTTAAATGAGGTCATAGGAGTGAAGCCCTAATCTGACAGGACTGGTGTTCTTTTTTTTTTTTTTTTTTTTTTTTTTAATATATTCTATTGATTTTTTACGGAGAGGAAGGGAGAGAGATAGAGAGCTAGAAATGTCGATGAGAGAGTAACATCGACCAGCTGCCTCTTGCACACCCCCTACCAGGGATGTGCCCGCAACCAAGGTACATGCCCTTGACCGGAATCGAACCCGGGACCTTTCAGTCCGCAGACCGACGCTCTACCACTGAGCCAAACCGGTTTCGGCAGGACTGGTGTTCTTATAAGAGAAAGACACACAAAAAATAGTGTGTGCTCACATTTTCATATTCTCTCTCTCCCTCTTTCTGTCACTATAGTGGCACTGTCACTATATCAGCATGCCCAGAGAAGAGACCAAGTGAGGTCACAGTGAGAAGGCAGCCATCTATAAGCTGAGGAAGGTCTCACTAGAAACCAGTCCTGATGGCACCTTGATCTTAGACTTTGAGCCTCCAGAACTGTGACAAAATAAATTTCTGTTATTTAAGCCTGTGGTATTCTGTTATGGTAATAAGCATGTCTTCATTTGTATGAAAGATAGTTGAGCCTTGTAGGTCGAAGCATGATTTTATTACTGTCTGTACCTGGAAAGTAATGTGGTTATAAGGGGTGTGAATGGATGGCAAATTGAAAAGGGATGGACTGTGGGCGGTTATACTGTGTCAATTTGGTTAAACTTGATACAATCCCCTCCCTATACGGTTCCATCTTAAAGTTGACCAACACATGAATTAAATGTGATTTGACAGATATAAGTAAAGCAGCAAGCCACTATTCATTGAAGGTTACTCTAGGCCAAGGTAGTGATAAACAATCACTACCAAGTGAATTATGGCTCCACACCCAGCTCTGTTTCCCACATACTGATCCTGCTGACTAAGTGTTGTAGACCAGAGCTCCCCCAGATCTCCTCATGAGCTGCTCATTTTCGGTTCTACTTCAGCAGGTGGATACACTTTGGCTTCTCAGACCGGCTGGATACGCATCTAATCTACCAATTCCCCTTCTGAACCTTGGCTTCCCAGCTGGTTTCACAATGTGTCAGATCTAATTCCTACCATAAATCCGACTACGCTCATTATGGACTCTGCTTTCCTGACTGAACTCTGATCATTCAGAAACAACACAGTGAATGCAATACTTCTATCCATCAAATAGTTCTTGTTTTAGATTATGGAAAAGAGGAAGGAAGGTAGTCTCTCTGTACAATCTACACCCTGCCCCAAGTCTTCTCATTAGTAGAGTGTTGGTAAGAAAAATAAGCAGGTAGAACAATAAAATATCTATCAGTTTTGCCTTAAAATTAAATACTCCAAGTACTTAAAATCATATTCTTTGCTGCCACTGTCACTATATGAAACATTTCAAGTTGAAACTCTTCTTAGAATGAAAACTGTTATATTATTCTTAAAGAATTTCTTTCAAAATAACCTTACATTAGATAAATTTCATTCAATGACAAAAAATACAGCACCGTGGTTAACTCAACTTTTTAAGAAAGAGGGTCCTGGACAGTGTAGCACAGTTGTTTGAACATCATCTCATACACCAGAAGGTAGCAGGTTCAATTCCCAGTCAGATCATATACCTAGATCAATCCCTGATCCCAGTGAGTGTGGGAGGCAACCAATCGATATCTTTCTCTCTCTTTTACTCTCTTTAAAATCAATAAAATAAAATATTTTTTTTAAAAAGAAGGAATGAAAGTAGATAAAATAGGGGAAAGTAGTTTTGCTTAAGAATCTTTACCTTTGTATTCCTTATAACAATTGGATATTTCATCCCTAAAAAAAAAAAGGAAAAAGGAATTGGTGAAAGATTTATTTTTAGTAAAAGAAGGCCTACAGTATTTGAAATATATTAGTAACAAATTTAAATGAGTTTCTTGTCACAACCATGATTACTTTCCACATTTCATCCTGAAGCTTTTACCAAGTAATAAGATTAAATTAATTCATATTTGACAATATATAAAATTCTGGCATGGCCCTAACCAGTTTGGTTCAGTGGATAGAGCGAGGGTCCCAGGTTTGATTCTAGTCAAGGGCATATACCTTGGTTGTGGGCACATCCCCAGTATGGGGTGTGCAAGAGGCAGCTAATCAATGTTTCTCTCTCATTGATGTTTCTAACTCTCTATCCCTCTTCCTTCAACTCTGTAAAAATCAATAAAACATATTTTTAAAAAACTCTGGCATGTTTAGATTATTTTATGTGAATTCATTTCATCTCTGCTTATCAACCTCCCTCCACTTCAGCACTAGCATAGGCAGTCCCAGCTTTTTTTCTCTGACCTACAAATCTAAACACCATGCTATAAAATGGATCATCATAAATCAGTATGAATTTCCCACTGGATTAATGTTATGACACTTGTTGTCCAAATGTTGGTTACTGGATCTCTTAGATTCTAGGTTGTGAAAAGAAGAAAAAGTTATTAAAACACAAAAAGTCTTCCAATAATAAAGTATTTATAAAATTAGTTTATATCAGATACAAGGGATTTCGAAGTCTTATAACACATAAGTGAAACAGTTAAAGAATATGATCTACTTTTATCTTGAATACATTTGATTGATTATGCTACCTACATATAACAATCTTAATTATTTAACAATTTTGCTCATCATCTTAGAATTTAGTAGGACACTGGGAGGATGATTCATATGGCCCATATCTCCAAAAAGAAAAACCTGTCAAGGAAGAATAAACCCAGCACTACATTTCCCCTCAAATTTCCCCAAAGCAAATTCAAAATTTACAAACCGATTCATTTAGTTAAAAAAAAAAAAAAATCCCCAAAGCAGGTATTATAGTTTGGAATGGCTAAGACATGTCTTATCCACAGACAATCTGCTTCAGTAAAACTGGGTGATGCTAAAGTCTCCAGTTTTAACAAACATCCCCAGGGATTCTGACTCTAACCTACAGGCTAAGGAAGGATTTGGGGGCTAATCTACAATAATAAAGTGTAATATGCTAATTAGACTGTACTAAGCAACTAGTACAACCAAATGACCAGAACAACTGGTTGACTAGTCGCTATGATGCACACTGACCACCGAAGGCAGATGCTCAATGCAGGAGCTGCCCCCTGGTGTCAATGTGCTCCCACAGCCAACCTCCTGCGGCTGGTCAACCTCTCACAGCCCCTACCGCCCCTACCCTTGGCCCTGATCAGTCCAATTGTCTGCCAGCCAGGCGGAAGGACCCCACCTGTGCACGAATTTGTGCACCAGGACTCTAGTTCTTTACAAACATCAGTAAGAAGTGTCCGATCAGTGCCTAGTTCTATCAACATGAGACTCAATGAAGCCCCAGTTTTCCCACATCCAATATAACCTTCTGTACCTGCCTCCAGCTCCGTGCCCTAACTCTAGCCCAGCTCCTGATGGACCTCCCCCAGTACTACCTCAGCCAAAAGCAGTCCCACATTTGTTTAGAAGTCAATACAAGTATTCGAAGAAAAGACAAGGACGGCTTACCATCTTCACTTCTTGAAGGACTTTCTCTAGCCATTTCAATATCTTTTACTTCAAAATTGGTCAAGACAGAGCCACCTGCATCTTGGAAATCCTGGGCAAATGACAAAGCCACCTGACGATAGTCCACAATGCCAGTATATGGGCAATCAATAGCCATTAGACCCTGGGATAGGATTATGAAAAAGTGAAGGCAATACAATTAAAAATCATCAAGAACAGTTTGTTGAATAAATTTTATTTTGTGCTGAAATTTTTTACTGGTTATTTTGATGGGTAACACACATTAGCTTTCTTAAGGGAAAAAAACAAAACCCTGATAACTTGTAAGAAAAATAAAATAAAAGCTTGCTTCATAGTGCCTGAATTTGAACTTGAGTATCCAGGGTGGGGCAAAAGTAGGTTTACAGTTGCTCATATGAAAATGATACAATAATTAAAAATATATACAGAATGAACTGTGTTTCATGTACTCACAGCTGTAAACCTACTTTTGCCTCACCCTGTATGTATATACTAGAGGCCTGGTGCACAAAATTCATGCACGGGTGTCCTTCAGCCCAGCCTGCACTCTTTCACAATCTAGGATCCCTCAGGGGATGTCCAACTGCTGGTTTAGGCCCCATCTCTGCAGGCCAGTCAGACATCCCCCGAGAGATATAGCAGTGTCCCAAGTGACAGGCAGCTAGGAAGAAGCCAGAACTGGGGCTGGGTGCCACACCACTTATACTCATCCTGGCCTGCTGTGCCCGCTGCTGCCACTCAGTAGCACTGCCATGGAGTTGGGAGAGGCTCCCGCCACCACAGCTATGCTCACCAGCTGTGAGCCCGGCTTCTGGCTGAGTGGCACTCCCAGGTTGCACTGACCACCAGGCGGCAGCTCCTGCATTGAGCATCTGCTCCCTAGTGGTCAGTGCACATCACAGCAACTGGTCGATCAGTCATTCTGGTCATTCTGTCACGATGGTCACTTAGGCTTTTATATATATACTAGAGGCCTGGTGCACGAAATTCAGGATACCCCTCCCCCCAGCCTGCACCCTCTCCAATCTGGGACATCCCTCTCACAATCCAGGACTGCTGGCTCCCAACTGCTCACCTGCCTGCCTTCCTGATTGCCCCTAACTGCTTCTGTCTGCCAGCCTGATCACCCTTAAGCACTGCCCTGCCTGCCTGATTGATGCCTAACTGCTCCCTTGCCAGCCTGTTTGCCTCTAACTGCCCTCCCCTGTAGGCCTGGGTTCCCCCCAACTGCCCTTCCCTGAAGGCTCAGTTGCCCCCAAGTTTCCTCCTTTGCCAGCCTGATCCTTCCCAACTGCCATCCCCTGCTGGCCATCTTGTGGTGGCCATCTTGTGTCCACATGGGGGCAGCCATCTTGTGTGTTGGAGTGATGGTCAGTTTGCATATTACTCTTTTATTACATAGGATACACACACACACACATACACACACACACACACACACAATATGTCCTGATATAAGAAGTAATACTAACTAAATAAGAACATTTCTATAATCAGAAAATAATTCTCCTCCTTAAAGGAGTTCATTTTGCTAGGCTCTTCCCAACTGCTACAATGAGTTTTTCTGTTTTATTCATCCCTCACCCTAATTCATATCTGAGTTGAGTTCTGTGTCACTAAACGATTATGTTTTTTTTAATTTAATTTTTCCCATCATCATTTATCCCCTCTAGGCTCTCTTCCACCTCCTCTCCCCACTGTTGTCCATATCTATGAGTTCTCTTTTTTTTCCTCAACCCCTCTCCCACCCTTGCCCCTTACACACACCAGAGCTGGTTGCTTGCTCTCTATGAGTCTGTCTCTATTTTGCTTGGTAGTCAGTTCAGTTTGTTCATTAAATTCCACATATGAGTAAAGTCATATGGTACTTGTCTTTCTATTACTGGCCTATTTCACTTATCATAATGTTCTCCAATTAAAGTTTTAAATAAACTCCACTGAGATTTTCTCAGTAGTGGATCATATGTCATACACACTCAGTGAGAACTCAGAATTGTTCATATGTTTGCAGAGCATTGATTTGATTTGCTGCAGACTCTATTTTCAAGACTGCAAATACTTCAAACTTTCTCTTCAGGTAATATGAGAAATTAACAGCCTGCGTTGTTCTTCTGGTGGTGGTGGTGGTGTGTGTGTGTGTTTTGCCAAGATATGTTCAAACTCTATAGATAAATTATTTACAAGCGGTACTTATTCAATGTTTTGGAATAAATGTATCCTTTTCTAATTCTGTAGAAAAGGATAAAAGTAGAATTTCACACACTAAGTACAGACTACACTTTGAGGAATCCTTAGTAACAGCACCATTTTATCTTGCCTTAATGTGTATGAGAATATTAGTTTTCTCTATCAATCTTCCCAAAGAGGATTGCCTGGTTCCCAGGATGACTAAGACCCAGAAGCTGAATATAACTGGTAAATGCTGCTGTCTTCTTGTTTGGCCAGCACAGCATTTCACTGTTGTGGTTTTATAATATTTGATATTATCCTTTCTAATAAAGAGGGAATATGCTAATTGACCCTCATGCTGCCACAAATATGGTGGCACCCATAGCCAATAAGGAGGAAATATGCGAATTGACTGCCCTGCCCTCAAAGATGGCAGTGCCCACAGCTACAAGATGGCGGTGCCCAGTCCCCTTAGCCCCACCAGGTGGCAGGCACTTGGCAAGGCCGGGCCCACCCCCAGGCAGGCGCAGCTGCTCCATGTACCTGCCTCTGGAGTTTCCCAGTCCCTTCAGCCCCCCAGCCACCCAGGGCTGGCCCAAGGTGCAGGCAAGCCTCAGATGGCGGCTGCCCAGCCGCCCAGGACTGCCTGAGGCTCAGGTAACCAAGGCTGCAGTGCTGGCAGTGGCAGCAGAAGAGGTGTGATGGGGCGTCACCTTCCCCTAATTGCCGGGTTGTCTCCCATCCCTGAGGGCTCCCAGACTATGAGAGGGGACAGGCTTGGCTGAGGGACCCCCCTCCAGTGCATGAATTTTAGTTTAAAATATTTTGTTATTGTATTCAGTGCCCCACCCCACCCCAATACATTTACCTGCTTATCTGCTGAGAACCAATTCCAGCATGTAATAATTTCAAGAGTTTTGCCAAAAGGTTGGTGAACCTTGGGGAGCTCAACAGGGTTGAGTGAAATGTAGTTTACCTGTTGGAAACTGCTAAAGGGCACTTTCCCCAAACCTGAATAGGATTGTTACAGCCAGACAGCTCAGGGCATTTTACTGCCTCCTGTTGGCCAAACACCTGAACAGCTGTAGGTTATTCCCCAAACTGATAATGCTTCAGTACAAATCCTTTGATATTGTACCCTTTGAAGTATATATTTCCACCTTGTCTTGGGATAAATCCAGGTCTTTGGTCAAGGGAGAGTCTTCACTTCCTTTTAGCTGAAGCTCCTCTGACCCCCAATGCCTTTTAAAAATACATTTTGCCTTTGGACTCCTTTTCAATCATCTACCTGCAGCCCCTTTCTCCAGAATGCTGAACGCTTTGTAAGGCTGTGGAAAAGAATCCCAGCACTTATCCTTCAAAGCTTTTGACTTTGCCACCCACCTCTGACCAATGTTGCCATGTGCCCAGATCACACTAAGGGTAAAGGCTCACAAAACACCCAATAGTCTCTTTTCACGAACTGAAAGCAACATTTGAAAAATTTCACCATTTTCCTGATGTCTGCTTCCAGAATATGAGAGCATGTGCCCAAGTACAGGAAATCAGCCCTTTTGTTTTGATAGAGTAGATACACTCAGATTTTATATTCGACTTTATATGACCTGACAATCCCTAAAATCATCAGTCAATAGCTATAATTCAATTTCAACCTATAAATAATATTTTTGATACAATAATCTTAAAATCTAAATTAGGATAATACCAAGAGTTTAGTCACAAAACTTCCTTACCTAGCATAGAACTCTGTAACAAGTATAACAGTGGGATAAAAGTGTGCTGTACAAATGCTCCATATCAAAAGATTCTTGGAATTCCAAATATCTTCATTCATTTTATATTCCTATTACCTAGTACAACGCCTGACACACAGAAGGCACTCAAACATTTACTCAATGGATGAACTTTTGAAGGTTGCTATCTTTAAACATACCAGATAGGTACCCTTTCTAGACATTCTCTAAAAGATCTCCTTTCTTTTCTTTCCCTTTCTAGTTTTGGCCTTAGCCTTGGCCCTCCTCATGAGATGCTGGTGGCCCTACCTATATGGGTATGTTGGGGGAAGGTGGAGTGAGTCACGGCTGCCAACCAATCCAGTGCCCTGGCCCAGGATGGGGGTTGGACAGGCTAGCAGTCTGCCAGGAGCTGGGCATGCACTGTCCAGGTTAGCAAGTCAGAACTTGAAATCTTAGGCCACTGCAGGCCAGATGGCTAGAAAAGAACCAGGCAAGCAAAACAGGGAACACTGGGAGGTAGAAGTCAGGAGGAACAGATGACCATGTGGTTGACCAATTAAAGAAAAGGCAGATGGATCTGCACAGCTAAGGTCAGACGCAACAGTCAGGATCTGCCCAGATGAGAGTTGTCAAGAGCTAGCCTCCAAAGTCAAAGTTCACAGAGCCAGTTTAAAAATTTCCAAAATGCCCCCACTAAGAGTACTTAAATCTTTTGCTGAAAGGAATCTGCTCTAAGAAGCCCTTTAGAGTTGCCCTAATATACTCTTTCTTTTGGAGGTCCTAGAAGAAACAGAAGTAACCTTGTATTATGCAAATTTTGCCCATCATTGCTGGTAGCAGTGGGGAGGTTCGGAGAGAAAGGAGGAATTTACTCATGACACCTTTATGAAATAACCAGACTATGTTTTCTACTATACTACTACTGCTATATTGCCACCTAAATAGGCATTGGAAATTACAATGCGGCATTATATAAAGTAGATCACTTCTGCAGAGGCCTCCGAGAAAAGCAGAGCATACCTCTTTCATACGTCACACTATCTAGTCATCTTTCAAGTGCCGGTTTGCCTAAACTCTCTGACTAAACTAAAAGCTTCTGATAAGCATTGTCTGGCAATGAGTTAGAAGCCAGACTCTTTAACACAGGTACCTAGAGTCCAGTTCTTTTTCTTTTTAGTGCTTTTGTTGATTTTAGAGAGAGGAAGGGAGAAGGAGAGAAAGATAGAAACATTGATGAGTGAGAATCATTGTTTGGCTGCCTCCTCTATGCCCCCTACTGGGGATAGAGCCTGCAACAAAGGCATGTGCTCTAACCAGGAACCAAACTGTGACATCCTCAACCACTGAACCACACCAGCGGGCTGGAGTCCAGCTATTGCACATTGTCGATAAAAGGGTAGGGGAGAAGGAACAGGAGATACAGCCATTCACTGAAACAGCCAGTGTAACTAGGGGGTTGAAGTGACAGTGTCTTAAAGGCTATCAAAGAAAGCTGTTATGCAGAGCATTATTATTCATGTCTCTCTCATGAATAAAAGAAAGGTTTTTCCCTATAGCTTGTTTTAAGCAAGATACTCTACAACCTACCCTTCACACTCATGCCACCCTTATCTTCCTGAAATACAGGCTGGATATCACAGCCACTCTCCTCAAAAATTTTCGGTGGCTTCTATGCCTACTATATCAACTTCAAAGTTATCAGCTTGAATATCAGGCCCTTTATGTGGGCCTAATCCTGCCTTTCTAGTCTCACTTTTTGTATTTTCCTACACACCCTGTGATCCAACCACACCTCATCACTCAGTGCTTTCCAAACTTGTCATATGGTTTCAGACCTTCTCTTGCATTTGCTTATGTCCTTCAGACCTGGTATTTTTTCATTGGTGTGAGTGAGAAGAGGGGTCCTATGGGAAGTAACTTCACAGGGTGATCTGGTCATAAATCCCTAACTCAACCAGTCATGGTAGGTAGTCATGTCCCAGGCATATAACCTCTTTAGTACAAAATTTATCTTTGCAATCTGGCTGGTGTGGCTCAGATGGTCTGAGCATTGTCTCATGCAAAAAAAAGGTCGCTGGTTTGATTCTTGATCAGGGCACATACCCAGGTTGTGGGTGCGATCCCAGGTCAGGGTGCATATAAGAGGCAACTGATCAATGTTTCTCTCTCTCCCTCTCCCTTCCTCTTTCTCAAATCAATAAAAAAAAATTTATTTTTAAAGAGATTTATATTTGCCTTAAGCAAGCCTAGTCCATTGTGGGTGTGCAATTAGGTTAACACACCATAAAAATAAACTGTAACCACTCTCAAGAGAGCACATAATCTTGTTAACTATTCTAATCCCTGCCTTGCTTTCTCTCACCATCCCATAAACTTCCCTCTTTAATTTCAAATGCATAAAAGAAGCTGCAAAACTTATTCTCCAGAGCATCTGAGATCTTGCTCCCTGGCAAATGTCATCAGTTTGGCGCAAATAAACTTACAAAAATTCTCTATAGCAAGCATGTCAAACTGGTGGCCCATTTATGTAAATGAGGCTTGCAGCTTGCTGGCCGCAAGTTTGACATGCTTGCTCTACAGGTTTGGATGTTTCTTATAATGACTTAGGGAAAGAAGAAATCAAGTGTCCAGAGTTTGTGGCAATGCCCTCTTGTGTTTGTTACCCCACTGCTTTTGTGACAGGATTATCTAACTGTTTCAATAGAATTCCTTCCTCCTATAAATTCACTTTCAGCCTCTATGCACACAAGACCGAGCCCTAAATGCAAATGTCCCTGTGAGTATGTGTGTGGAGTTAGTGAATCACTTACCCTACAATATGGCTCCTTCTTTTTTATATCCTCCTGCTGGATCAGCTTCAGGCCCTGGACACCATTCTGCAGGCCTCTCTCATATAGGGCCTGAAGTCTGGGAATTTCTTCTTGTTCTACAGCTACTATAAGCTTAAAAAAATGATAATGTAAATAGAGTTAAACAAATCATCCGCTATGAAAGATAAAGTGACTAGAAAAATCATAAATTGTTACATGACAAATTGGATTGATTTTTTAAAATTGCTTTTTCTTCATGTCTCTACTTCAATATTCCTTCATGACAACATTTTCCTCCTCCACTGGAAAAAGTTCTCTTTAGAAAACTGCATGAGTCCAGCCAGCATGGCTCAGTGATTCAGTGTCAACCTATAAACCAGGAGGTCACAGTTCGATTCCTGGTCAGGGCATATACCCAAGTTGCAGGCTCAATCCCCAATGGGGAGCATGCAGGAGGCAACCGATCAATGATTCTTTCTCATTATTGATGTTTCTATTTCTCTTTCCTATTTCCTCACCCTCTGAAATCAGTAAAAATATATTTTTTAAAAAAGTGCATGAAGAATTTTCCTCAAAATTGAGATGTAATCTCAATTTCCACATCTTGGCCATAATCAGTTATTATCACCTTCACTCCCTCAGTCCCAGAAGGGAGAGAAGCACTCAATTACTTAATCTTTACATTAAAAAACAAAATTTTAAAAATCAGCAACAACAAAACAGAATGGCCTTCTTTTTTCTATAAGAGAATGTAAAATACCAGTACATCAAGAAAACATTTGGTATTCAGTATAATGGGATATCATAAACATAAAACTATCCATTTTATTTCCTATAATAAAGTATATTACTAAGTATTTACTAATGCATCCTATTGCAAAGAAAAAAACAGGTAAATTTATCAACTTTACTCAAGACTCTTTTTCTATTTATTTTTGGGCAAAGTTTCTTCTTAAAATAGTTTCTTCCTTAACAGCTCACAGCAAGGAAGGCACAGATGTATATTCCCGGGTAAATAAGAATTTACAAATTACTATTTCATAGCAATGAGTCAACATTTAATAGAGATAATACTCTTAATCAAGGTGTAAAGGTTATTTAAATCAACAAATAACTAACCTCAAGAACAAAAGTGGAGTCAAAGGACTCTATCCAGAAAATGAAAAGACAAAGCACTGAATGGGAGAAAATATTTGCAAATCATATAGGTGATAAGGGACTAGCATCAGAGTACTATATAAAGAACTCTTATAACTCAACCATAAAAACTATAAACACAGTTTTACATATTTTTTCACTTCATACTATGTCGGGACCATTTCCCCATATAACTTTTAAAATCTTCATAGCATTTTTAATGGTAACAATGAACTTTTATTTTAAAAAATTACATGAAAAAGACTTACAAGGGAATATTACGAATAATTTATGCCAACAAATTAGATAATCTACATGAAGTGGACAAATTCATAGGAAGACACAAGCTTCTGAAACTGACTCAAAAAGAAAATCTGAATTGACCTATAACATGCAAAGAGAGTGAATTAATAACTTTAAAACTTCCCACAAAGATCAGGCCCAGGAACTATACTCATGAGTGCTACCACATGTTTTAAAGATTTAATACCAATTCTTCACAAACTCTTCCAACAAAACAAAAGGGAACACTTCCTAACTGATTCAGTGAGGCCAGTCTTAGCCAGATACTCAAAACAGACAAAGATTAAAAAAACAACAACAACAAAAAAAAAAAAACACAAGACTGCAGAACCAATCTCTAGTGAATATTGATATGAGTCCTGACTAGTAAACTGATGCAGCAACATAAAGAAAGGATTATATACCATGACCAAGTGAAATTTACTGCAGGAATGAAAGATCAACTTAACATCCAAAAGTCAATTAATGTAATGTATTAATAGAATAAAAGACAAAAACTACATGTTTGCTTCAACAGAAGCAGAAAAAGCATTTGAGAAAATTCAACACCCTTTTATGATTAAAACAACAACAACAACACAACTTTCAATGAACTAGAAATAGAAAGGAAGTTCCTCAATCTTATAAAGGGCATCTACCAAAAAACCACAACTAGCATGAGACTTAATAGTGAAAAGTTAAATGCTTTCTTCTTAAGATCAGGAAATCACAAGGTTGTCCACTTTCATTGCTTTCCCATTTCAACATTGCATTAGAGATTTTACACAGGGAAATTAGGCAAGAAAAAGTATAAAAAGTATCCAAATTGAAAAAGAAGTTAAACTATTTTATTTTCAGATGGTATGATCCTGCATATAGAAAATTCTAAGGAATCCACATACCAAAAGAACAAATACCTATTAAACTAATACCAAGGAATAAATTTAACAAAAGAAATGCAAGACCTGCACAATGAAAAATATGTAACTGTTGAAAGAAATATCTAAATCAATGAAAAGACATCCCATGTTCATAAGATTTAATATTGGTAAGATGGCAATACTCTCCAAATTGATCTATAGATTCAATATAATATCTATCAAAATCCCAGCTGCCTTTTTAGAGCTACTGACAAACTGACTCTGAAATTCATATGAAAATGCAAGGCACCCATAAACAGCCAAACAATACGTTTTTTAAAAATGTGTTGCTTTTTTATTTTTAAAATTGATTTCAGAGAGGAAGAGAGAGATAGAAACATTGATGAGAGAGAACATCGATCGGCTGCCTCCTGCATGCCCCATACTGAAGATCAAGCTTGCAACCCTGGGCAGTGCCTTGACCAGGAGACGAACCAGTGAACTCCTTGTGCATAGGACAGATGCTCAACCAACTGAGCAACTGTTAGCCAAAACAACCTTGAAAAAGAAGAACAAAGTTGGAGGACTTACACTCCCTGATTTCAAAATAAAGAGTTAGGGTAATCAAAATAGTGTGATAGAATATAAAGATAGGCATATATCAATGGAATAGAATTGAGAATCCTAAACATACCCTCTGACATTTATGCATAAGTGAGTTGTGATAAGACAAAAAGCAATGTAAAAAAAAATAGTCTTTTCAACAAATGGTGGTAAACAACTGGATCGACACATACAATACAATAAAGCTGGACCCCTTCCTCACACCGTATACCAAAATTAATTAAAAAGTGGCCCTGGTCAGTATGGTTCAGTTGGTTGGACATCATTCAGTGTACCAAGAGATTGATTCCTGGTCAGGGCACATGCCTCTGTAGTAGGCTCGATCCCCAGCAGGGGGTGTGCAGAAGGCAACCAAGAGATGTTCTGCTATCACATCAATGCTCCTCTTTCCCCCTTCCTCTCTTTCTAAAATGAGGCAGGAATCTTCTATTGGCAGGGTCTGTGAAAAGGGCGGTCGGCTGGCTCTGAAAGTGTTAATAAGTCCTGGAAGCAGCCCAAGAAGCAGGCCAAGAAAATGGGTGAAGGTGGTAAGGTATTCAAGCAAAAACAGAAAGAGGGGCAGAAGAAACTCAAGGAGCTAAAAGTGAAGGCTGTGGGAAAGAAATACCATACCAGGGAGATCCCACATTTGGAATTAAGAATTCTGGCAAAAAAAAAAAAAAAAAAAAAAAAGCTGTTCCTTGTACCTGGGTCAATGGTGATCCTTAATTCCATTTCTGTTTCAACATCTGGATTCTCTGCCATAACATGTGTTACCACTGATAGCTATAATGAAATGTTGTCTTGAAGCCTGTTGTACATTTAATAATAAACTTTTGTAAAAAAATTTAAAAAAAAAACATTCTGTGGTTCCTCTTTTCTTTACCCTGTTTTCCCGAAAATAAGACAGTGTCTTATACTAATTTTTGCTCCCAAAGATGCGCTAGGTTTTATTTTCAGGGGATGTCTTATTTTTACATGAAGAATAATACGGTTCACATTTATTGTTAAATGAAAATAAAGGAAATTTATTACCTGTATACGGTACAGTAGTACGGTAGTTGTCAACAAACAACTACCTACAAACTGTGAATCCTACAGTATCAAGAATTTACTCATTTATTCAATGAGTAAACTGTGACAAACTGTGAATCCTACAGTATCAAGAATTTACTCATTTATTCAATGACAATCATGTCATCATCATCTGGAACATCATCATAACAATCCAATTCCTGAATTTCCTGGTGAATTTCTTGTGACTCCATTTCTTTCAGAATCAGTGAACCAAATCTCTCATGTTTAGCCTAGGGGAGGCCTTATTTTCGGGGGGATGCCTTATATTTCACTCAGAAGGAAACCTGTAAGTAGGTCTTATTTTCAGAGGATGTCTTATTTTCAGGGAAACACGGTAGTTCTCAGGCATTCCAATCTCAGCTGGGAAGTCAGAGCAAACCCAGCCTAAAATTCTGCCAAAGTATACTCTGCAGTATTTGTTCTACCCCAAATTCTTTATCACTTGGAATTAAACTAATTCATCTGGGGGGAAAGGAAAGTGATGATAGACCTAAAGGTCAGAGCTAAGGTTATAACAAAACTCTTCAAAGAAAACATGGGAGTAGCGTTCAGCCAGTGTGGCTCAGAGGTTGAGTGTCAACTCAGGAACCAAGAGGTCACCAGTTCGATTCCCAGTCAAGGCAATGCCCAGGTTGTGGGCTTGATCCCCAGCAGGGGTGTGCAGCAGCCGATCGATGTTTCTATCTCATAGATGTTGCTATATCTCTGTCTCTCTCCCTTCTCTCTCTAAAGTCAATAAAAACATATTTAAAAAAAAAAACACATAGGAGCAATTTTTCATGATCTAAGATTAGGCGATGATTTCTTAGGTATGACACTAAACATACAAGCAACAAAAGAAAAAGATAGCATGGACTTCATAAAAATTAAAACTTATGTCCTTCAAAGGATACCATCAAGAAAGTAAAAATCTACAGAATGGGAGAAAAACTTTAGTAGTATTTTTTAAATTACATTACTATTATTTTATATTAAAAATAAAAATATTTTAATTTATTAGCAGTATTTTAGTAAATATCTTGTGGCTAATAAGGGACTGTATTCAGAATATATAAAGGACACTTACAAATCAACAATGAGAAGACAATCCAATTTAAAAAGCAAGCAAAAGATTTTTTTAAAATATATATTTTTATTGATTTCAGAGAGGAAGTGAGTAAGAGAGAGAGAGAGAAACATCAATGATGAGAGAGAATCATTGATCAACTGCTTCAGGGACACCCCCGAGTGGGGATTGAGCACGCAACCCAGGCATATGCCCTTGACCAAAATCAAACCATGGACCTTTAAGTCCACAGGCCAATGCTCGCTCCACTGAGCCAAACCAGCCAGGGCTGGGCAAAATATTTGAATAGCATGTTTTCAAAGATAAATGAATAACCAATAAGCATAGGAAAAGATACTCAATATAATTAATAACTAAGGAAATGCCAATCAAAACCACAATGATTTATACCTGTTCAGATCGAGGATGGCTAAAATAAAAAAGACATAATAATAGAAGTTGGTGAGGATGTGGAGATATTAGAATCCTCATTAATTGTTGATGAGAATATAAAACAGTGCAGCGCTTTGGAAAACAGTTTGGCTGCTCCTCAAACGTTAAACATGGAGTTACCTCTAACCCAGTAATTCCACTAATGTCCAAGGAAAATGAAAACAAGTTCATACAAAAACCTGTACATAGATTCCATAGCAGTGTTATTTATAATAGCCAAAGGGCGGAAACAGCCCAAATGTCCATCAGTGTAAAATGGATAAACAAAATTTGGTATACCTACACAATAAAACATATAAAAAGATTGAAGTATTGATTCGTGCTACAAATGAATGAACCTGAAAAATATTATGGTAAGTGAAAGAAGCCAGTCACAAAAGACAACATACTGTATGAATTCATTTACATGGAGCGTCCAAAATAGTCAAATCCAGAAAATACATTAGTGGTTGCCAGGGCCTGGGACGAAGCAAAACTAGGAAGTAGGGGGAGTGGGGAATGGCTATTAATGGGCATATGGTTTTTTTTTGGGAAAATGAATATGGTCTAAAATTAGATAATGGTGATAGTTAGGAACATCGATGAGAGAGAAATATCAATCAACTGCCTCCTGCACACCCCCTACTGGGGATGTGCCCGCAACCAAGGTACAGGCCCTTGATCAGAATCAAACCTGGGACCCTTGAGTCCGCCGGCCGACGCTCTATCCACTGAGCCAAACCGGTTTCATAATTTATATACCACACAATTCACCCTTTTAAAATATTTTAAATATTTAAAATATTTTAAAAGGGTGAATTGTATGGTATATAAATTATGTCATAAAGCTGTTACTTTAAAAATTACATGGAATGTCCTGGCTGATGTGGCTCAGTTGGTTGGAGACTCATCCCGTACCCGTTTCAGGTCCCATCCCCAGTCGGGGTTCATGTGGAAAGCAACCGATCAATGTTTCTGCACATCAATATTTCTCTCTCCCTCTCCCTTCCTCTTTCTATAAAGTTATTAAAAACCTACCAAAAATAATTTTTTTAATTACATGGGGTTAGGTACACCATCTTTTAAAAAAGTTATTCTCTAATATTAGATTCTGCAAATTACTTGATATAAAGAAAGAAAATCCAGGGTTTAAAAAAATTCAACATTAAACACCAGGAAGAAAATGTTAGTTATAAATAAGTCGAGTAAAATACCATACCTTGCCAACCTGCTTGTAAGAAATTCCCTTTTGGTTACAGTACTCATAGATGAGGGCTGCACCCTGTACACATAATTTAGCTTTTAGAGATTCCGGTTTATAATAAATTCCACTATGTATGACACCACTGTTATGTCCAGTCTGGTGAATAGCTACCAAACAAGAGAAATAGGAGAAGAGAAAAATAAATGACTCATACAAAACCTAAGAAGTGGGGGAACAAACATGTGTGAAGCTATCAGAGGCCACATTATTTAAAATTCTTACAGCCAGAGTACTGGTAAATTTCCCTACCGCCATCTTTGTTGCCTGTGTCACATCCCTCCAGCCCACCTTTGATTGTACTTACAACTTTGGTGCACAAAATTACCTCTCACTTCCAGCATACCATTTTAAGGGACCATTATAGTTCCCTGCATTCTGCCCCAGGACCGTGTCTAATGTGGGGAAAGAGAACTCAACATTCCTAGAGGCAGTCCTCAGCCAACAGGGACAGGAGCTGGTGGATAAATGACCGTGGTGCTGGGAAATGTTTATGGAGCTCCTCAGAGGTCCCAGTAGAATCAAACTCATAACAGCCCCTTCAATAAGGTACCCTCCTGTGGCTCTCCCTCCTTCCCTGTTTACTATCCCTACCCCCTCACTCCTGTCTCCTAGAGAACCTCTCAAATCACTTAGACCCAAGTCCTAGTCCCAGACTCTTCTTTAGGGAGAACTCAAACTAGCATACTAACATCGACACTCAACATTACAGATGCAGAATTGACAAAATAAGCGGGTGTTCCGGATAAGCCTGAAGAGCAACACTGATAACATACATCAACCATACATACCTAATTCCTTCTCCTTTTCCAGAACACCAATGGAAAGTGCTGGATGTCGCAGGATAAGTGCTCTGGCAGAGGCAAGCCCCACAATTCCGCCACCGATAACGACTACATCAAATGAGCTTCAAGAGAAAGTCACTTTAAAAATAATGCACGTTTACAGTAGACCTCATCAAACTTCACATGCAACATTTTTGTCATCTATGAATAATTAATTAAACTATTAACTTATAGTCATTAAAAGCAAATATTTATTGGTTTTTGTGCTATTTGGCTTCATACTCAAGAAGATACCCTTAAAAGTTACCAGCATTGCTGGTCAGTAGTATAACCAGCTATACCCAGCAGGCAGGGTGGCTAGTTGATCAAGCTGCTCTAAATCTCCACAGTACTCTGCCTGGGCCAGCTACATGTGTTAAGCATCACACTCTTCTCTACCATCTATTCTTCTAAAATTCAAGTGCAGTATTCTTGAGGATTAGCTAACACATTAAGTCTTCAACACCTTGGTATGCAACGATTTATAATCTTTTCTGTTAAAAAGAAAACAGCGAATAGGTTCAGAACCACAAGTTCAGCCACGACAAACTCTGATTATATAACCATTCTAAAAACTAGAAAGGCCTTGTAAAGTCTAACTGCAATGAGGATGTAAAAGATTCCCTTTAGCACTGACTTTATGGTAAACAAATCTAAGTTTTAAAGGAATATTGACACTCTTACTTCTCCTCTCCTCCCGTCCCCATTTAATCCCCTTCATGTTATATTATTTTGATGCAAAAGATATGAACAAACATATCATCAAAGAGGACAGATATACAAGTGGCAAATAAAAACATGAAAATATGTTCAATTCCATTTCTCATTAGGGAAATGGAAATTAAAACTACAATGATATATCAGTACACTCATATCAAAATGGCTAAAAAAAAAAAGTGATAATATGAAATGCTGGTGAGGATGATGAAGAACTGGATCCCTCACATATTACTGGTAGGAATGTAAAATAACAGTCATTCTGAAAAAAGAATATGGCAGGTTCTTAAAAAACTAAACATGTACTTACTGTAGATCTTAGTGTTTGCTTTTATCCCAGAGAAAGGAAAAATCTGCTCACACAAAAACTGTACATAAATATTTATAGCAGATTTATTCGTAGCCAAAAACTGGAAACAACCCAGATATCCTTCAACTGGTGAATGATTTTTAAAAAAAGGTCATACATCCATACCATGTAATGCTACTCAACAATGAAAGAGAATCACTATTCATATAGGTAATACTTAGATGGATCTCAAGGTGAAAAAAGCCAATCTCAAAAGATTACATACTGTGTATTTCTACACACAGAACATTCTTAAAGTGGAAAATTATAGAGCTGGAGAATAGATTAGTGGTTGCCACAGGTAAGTGGTTAGAAAGGTGTAGAGATGGGATGTGAATATAACACAAGGGATATTTTTGTATTGACGGAATATTTGTTTCTGAATTGTGGTGTTAGTTACACAAATTAACACATAATTAAATTGCATAGAAACAAATACACACACAAATGAGTGCATGTAAAACTGATGAAATCTGAACAAGGTTTATGAAGTGTACCAATGCAATTTCCTGGTTTTGATAAAGTACTATAGTTACGTAAGATGGTAACATTGGAGTAAATGAGAGTGCTGCTTTATTGCAAACTTCTATAAATCCATAATTATTTCAAAATAAAAGGCATAAACAAAACCTTCCCTAACCCAACTTTTCTTCCCTTAAGCTTTCCAAAACCCTCTCCCATTCTAATCCCCCTCCAATACAATAACATACAGCAACCAAAATAAATTTTTGAAAATTGATCAGCATTCAATCACTCCCTCTTTTCAACAACCCTTTAAAAGCTTCCGAACGCTCTTAGAATAAAATTCACCTTGCAATTAAAATAAAACAAAATAAAATAAAACCCCTGATGTAGCCTCTCTCCTGGTGTCATTTCACATTTTCGACACAGCCAACCTTTCCAGCTTGGCATAAACCATCGTCCCTACAGAAAGCAGAGAAAACAGTGGTTTCCAATGTGACCTCCAAACTTTAAATCACAGGACCATGAATTCTGCAGGCTTTGATTAGACACTGAGCTGCTTCTCCTTGAGGTAACTCTACGCAGTGTCTGCCTGGAACTGATTTAAGACTGGATTCAGATCTTTCTAGGAACACCAGAGATGCCAGCTAATAAACAGTGTGATTCGATTGCTTACAGTGGGCTGGGTCCTTTAACGCTCAAAACGATCACCTGCGGGAGAGCCTCGCTCCAATTCACAGCCGAACCTTCAAGGAGCTTAAGTAACGTAGGACGTTGGAGGGGTTGTATTCAAAGACAGACTGTAGTAGCCCTCTACTCAGCACTCTCATTCTCTTTCCTCCCGCCCACAAACACAACGAATCCATCCTGCAGCTAGCTCCTGAGATCCGAGGTTGGAGCCCGCGCTCCCCCGGACCTCGACCTTCTCTCACGCCGGGGGCAGGGAAGCAGAGCCAGGGCTCAGGTCCAGCAAGGAGCGCCTCTAAGATGCAGCGCCCGCGGCGGGGGCGGGCCAGCGGCTACTCACCTCGTGCTGGCTCCGCGGCCACCCTGGCACAGCGGCTGCGGCCACCCCAGCGCGGACCCGCACGCCGCGGCGGGGACGCCCCTGGGGAAACCCCCGCGGGCCCGCCCGCAGGCAGTGCCCAGGTAACGCAGCGCGGGCACCATCGCCTGCGTCCCCTCCCCGGCCGCAGCCCCTGCTGGGCCACCGGAGCAGGACGCTCTGCAGAGACCGCGGTGTCCTCTGGGCCCGCCCCCCGCGTACGGGCCAATGAGGCGCGCGCCTTCGCTCACGTGGGAGCAGCCGCCGGGGGCCAATGAGCGCGCGCGGCGGAGGGCGAAGGGCAGGCCGGCGCTGCGTACTCGCCGGGGACGCTCGCTCGCGCCCTTCCTGCGACGCAGTGAGTTGAGGAGCCGGGCCCGAGCGGGACGGGCCCAGGGTGGTGGTTTCACTCTGCCCTTTCCCTTCGCCCCTCGCGGCGTTTACCGAGAACCCGCAACGCCGCTTCGTGGGGTCTGACCTTTGACGTCCACCGGATGCGGGGCCCGGCATGATTGTAGTGAAAATTCGATTGGACTGGCCCAGCTGCCTCCCTTCTCTTCGGCCCCGCCCAGCCTCGTCGGGTCCCGGGCTCCCCGGCTCCCCGGCTCCCCCGCCCCGGCCCGGGTCAGCTCGAGGCGGATGGCTGAGCACCCGCGGTCTCCAACCCGGCCCCGCCCAGCCCGGTGCCCGGTGCCCGGTGCCCGCTGAAGGCGCCCGCCGGCCGGCCTGAGCCCGCGCCCCGGACCGAGGCCCGTACAGCCGCGGGGTCTTCTTTCGGGGGGGCTCCTGGCGCGGCCATCCACCCGGTTATTTGTGGAAATAATGATAATTACCTGTACACAGAAGGTGACCAGACGTCCCGCTTTTGGCGGGACACATTGTTAGAAATCGGGACGTCTGGCCACCTTATGTGCGCACCGCCTGGATGAGCCAGGCCACCTTTAGCGATGATGTGTTTCCTTATGGTTCATCCTGGGCCCCTGCACGGGCCACCCCTCCCGAGTTCCCACCTGGAGAGGGAGGAGGTGGGCTGTGAGCTCCCCAGGACCTTGCTTCTCTAACATTAGGTGGTTGTCACTGTGCCAGCTTAAGGCCCTGCGGAATGGCAGTTTGACACTTGTAGGGTCAGAACAGCTGGGCAGAAAAACAGAATGACACAGCTTCACTGCTGGCAGGACTTGACCTGACCGTTCGGATTTGGTTCCAGCCATCAGCCAGGTGGCCTCTGGAAGCCAGTTCACCTCTGTGCCCGGCCCCGCCCGCCCCCCATGGAGTAGGGCTGATTAATGGCAGAGTCTCCCTCAAAAGGCTCGTCAGGTTTTATTGAGCACAGTGAAGACTCGGGCATTATTCTGCTCCAGCAGTTTTAACCCTTCTGGGTAAATTGTACATGTTTTGCTCTCTTTGTGAAAACAACATAGAATGTTACCTTTAAAAAAAAAAAAAAAAAGGGATGGCTATTTTTGAAATTTAAAAAAATTTTTTTTTTGAAATAATTGTAGATTTCCATACAGTGAAGAAACAGTAGCGATCCTGTGTGCCATTGACACTCAGTGTCCCTCAATGATAACATCTGGCAAAACTAGGGTACATTACTACCAGGCAATTGACATTGACACAGTTCATCAATTTTGTTTAGATTTCCCCAGGGTTACGTTTATGTGTGTAGTTAGCTCCACATCGTTTTTGTCACGTGTGTAGGTTCTTGTGTTCACCCCCACTGGCCAGGTGGCCAGGCGACAGCACAGCTGCCTCATCGGAATCCCTCGCCGCCCTTTTATAACCACACCTCCCCACAATGGGGCACCCTTCCCCAGGTTGTTCTCTTTCTAAAAAGTTGTCACTGTAAGAACTTACATAAACAGAATTTTACTGTATATAACTTTTGGGAAATTGGCTTTTTTTCCCACTCAGCATGATCCCTTGAGGGATCATGATATGTATTGATGGCTCATTCCTTCTTCCTGTCCAGTAGTATGTCATGGTACCGCAGTGTGTTCAACCATTCACCCATTAAAGGATATCTGAGTTGTTGCCAGTTTTTAACTTTTTTTTTTAAAATAAAGCTGCTGTGAACATTACAGCTTTTTATGTGTGAACCTATTTTTGTTTCTCTGGGAGAAATGCCCAAGAGTACAATTGCTGGGTCATAAGATAAGCACCTGTTTATTTTGATAGGAACTGCCAAACTGCTTTTCCAAAGTGGCTGTAGCTTTATACATTTCTACCAGCAATACTCGAGTGATCCACTTTCTCCTGAGGATATTTTTCCGTTGATTTTTAGAGCGAGTAGAAGGGAAGGGGAGAGGCAGAGAGAGAGGAACATCAATGTGAGAGAGACACATCGATTGGTCGTCTCCCACATGCACCCCAACCAGGGCCTGCCACCGAGGTTCGTGTCCTTGACTGGAATTGAACCCAGAACCCTTCAGTCCTTGGGCTGACGCTCTCTATTCACTGACCCAAACCAGCTAGCTTGGTGTCCCTATTTTTTATTTTAATCATTGATAGGTATGTAGTGGAGATGGTTATTTTTAGTTTGCGAAGATGTAGTAATTGATTTGTTACTAGACTGAATACAGAATTAGATACTTCCAGGGTCTGTGATCAGACTTTATGGACCTTAGTAGCTTTTTATTGCTCTGATTTTGAGCATGTGTGCATGTGTTTCTTATTTAACAAGGTAAAAGCAATCCAATACACGTTTTATAAATTTTTTTCTGCTTACCCTCTCCCCTTTCAGTTAAGCAATTTCAAATCAAGAGCTCACCGTACATTTATACACCCTGTAATATATTTGGTTAGAGACATTTGTGTTCCTGACACCACCCTCAGCTGAGAGGTCTGGCCTTCTCTAAGTCATAAACATAATTGCAGATTTTAGAAACATTACAAATGTATGGCTCTAAGCCATGTTCTGATAGTAAGAACGTCATTTTAAATTATTTTAAATCCTGAATTATTTATTGCAGCAGTAATTTAGTAATTTTTAACGCTTTAACTGGTTTCTTTTAATTCCTTAGAGTTAAATTCACCAACTCACCACTAGATGTCTCCTCTCTCCATATAGAAAGCATACCCAGAAGTAGCTTGAATTCATTAGAAATTGCTAATACTAATTAGCAAAGTTACATTTGAGAATGTAAAAACCTTCCTATTTATTTTTTATCTTTATTGATAAATAAAAATTTGATTTTTATATTTAAATTATTTTAATATATCTAGTATTTTTAGAAATCATAGCGGAAGTAGTAAATTTGGCCTTTTCTTTAAGCTGATTTATAAGGTGGGGCCAAAATAAGTCAAAGTACATCAGTTTTTCATAGACCACTAAAATTTACCTCTTAATAACAGTTTCTCTGGTTTTTACCTTTCTCCATGAAAATATATCAATCATTAAAGACTATTAGCAAATATTTATTAAACTATTGCATTATGCTAGGTATTATGCAAAATGGAAATGAATAAGATATGATTCTCCCTTTTTCTCTACATACTTTTCTTTTTTCTGCCTAACTGGAAACTCTTAATCATCTTTTAAGAGCCATCCCAAAAGAAAAGTCTTTTAGGCTTTGACAGAATTTGTTCATATTTCTCCTAAGACACCAAGTTGCATACTATTTATGTCTTCTGCCTTCATTAGACTATAAATTCTCTGAGGACAGGAACCATGTCTATCTCATGGTTCTGTTGTTTTGTTTGGTTTTTCTATCCATTGTATCTCTTGAACTAGGTATGGCAGACATTCAATACATATTTATTGGGTGAATGAATAGATGGATGGGTGAAGATGGCATTTGAATAAGATCTTGAAGTTGGGTAAGATTTCCATAGATAGGATTGGGTGGGTAGGGAGGGATGGTACAGCCTGAGTAGAACTGAAGCTAGAAAACCCAGATTTATAAATGAGGTTGGCAGCCAGTGGAGTTATTAGAGGTGGACACAGGTGGAGGAAACTTTAACAAAAAGCTGGGAGGGGCTGAGAACGTGAAAGAGTAGCAGGGGGGAGGGAAAGTTTGCAGTAATGCAGTCAGAGTGATGGTGGAAAAGGGAGGGAGTGGGTAGGTGATTCCAGATTCTGTCCTCAGACCTCATCTCTCACTGTTCCACAACCTCAACATCCTCTGAGGTGGCTCCCACTCAGGCCTCTTTCTATTCCTCCCTTTTTCCCTGAGTTGCAGGGCCATCTTATGACTAAGGAAAGAGCTTTGGACTGGGAGTAGCCAGAACGAGGTTCAGGTTTCAGCACTGCCACCAGTTAGCAATGGAACATTGGGCAAGTCCTTTTAAACACATGCATTTATTAAAACCCCACCTTGTTCTGGAAAGGATGTAGGGTGTCAGCCAGTTACTTAATATCAGGGCTTCAGTTTCCTCGTCTCTAAATGAGGTGACATGGAGAGAGTTTAGGTGATCTGAGTTCCTTCCAGCTATACCATTTTGCGACTCTGATTCTAATCACTTGTTGGTCATCTCCTCTTAGAAGTTCTGCCAACACTTCATATTTAGAATATGAAGAACTGGGGAATAAACCACAACCCTGTCCTTCTGACATTGATTTCATAATGGCACCATCATCCGACCAGTGACTCAGGAGCAAAACTTAGTGTCGTCTTCAGTTTCTCTGGTCCTCGCCCCTATAATCTCACTTACTGAATCACGTGGAATTCATTCTGCAATGTCATTCCAATTCTCCTCTCTCTCCTCCTCCCTCCCCCACCCCCCAGCCCTTCCCCATGGCCACATGTAGTTGAAGCCCTTGTTAGCTGTCTCTGTCTGGTGCTAGTGTACTCGATCTTGACATTGCTGTTTGAGTAATATTCCTGAAGCATAGTTCTCAAAATGCCAGTGTTCTGTGCTAAAACTTCAGTGACTCACAGCCACCTGCAGAAGAAAGTACAAATTTCTTGGCTAACTATGCCAGAGCCTTTCTGATGTGACTGAGTAAATTGTCTCCTCTTCTCATTACCCTCATATACTAACTAAACTGAAATGCAACATGATTTAAATGTCCCTGCCTCAGCTAATCACCTGGATTATTGAAATTCTGGTCTGTTCATATTTTAACTTTTGAAGTATTTATCAGGCAAATCCTTTATTTTAACTACTTGGTAACTTGTTTTTGCTCACTCCACTCTGCCTTAAGTTGTTAGTTCCTCAAAGGCAGAGACTGAGTTTCATTTCTCAGTGTTCCCCCATCCCACCCCCACCTCCTGTCCCCCCACCTGGCATACTTCTAGAGAAATTTGAATTGACGTAAATCTAAGTGAGATCCAATTCAAAAATCACTTTCTCAACTCATGGTTATAGGTTTTTACAGCTGGAAATCATCTGCGTACATCATCTCATTTTACAGGTGAGAAAACCAAGGGTGATGGAGGTGAAGTTACTGGCCCAGTCTTTCCCAGCTGCCCTCCTCAGCTCTTTGCACTGTTCGGTGACACTATTTGCACTCTTGTCATAGGAAGATATGTTTCCATGTCACCTCTTCCTTCCTGGATGTAACTGTGTGGACCATGGCACATTGCTCACTAGGTGATTTTAGTGTGCCATTTTGGTACTGGAAATGTAGATTGGGAGTGGGGTTGCTTTTAATAATTTAAATGGACACCAGGTGGCAACAGTGCAGACAGACACCAAATGAGGATAGAACAATGGGACTTCATATCAAGGCTAGAAGGAACCATAGAAATAAAAGAAACTGGGAAACTGAGACAGGAATGACTTGTTCAATATTGATCAAGAGGCAAGTGAATCATCAGCTTTATTGGCACATGATTGACTTTGAAGTTGTGAAGTGACTATATGTACATGACTCTGATTGCCAGTTAGTGATCTAATATTAATACTGTGTTGTATTTCTAGATCAAATGATGCTGTTTGGAAAAATTTCCTGGCAGTTGTGCGGCTTAAAGAAACTCCCATGGTCATGTGACTCCAGAAACTTCTGGGGCTGGCTGAATACAGTGTTTAATAAGTAAGTTACTCTAATTTAAATGAAGAAATGTGGGAATTGTTAAAGTTAGCTGAATTTGCAATAGGTATTTGGTTATTTCTTGTATTCCAAATGTTTTTTTGTATAGTATGTGCAGTGTGAACCTCATTTTGTTTAAAAACAAACAAAAATATACATACACAAGATGAATAAGACCCCAAAATAGATTACAAAGTATTATTATAACTGGGTTGTAGGATATCAGTGACTTTTATTTGGCTTTTCCATGCCTTTCAAGTTTTCTAAAATTAACATTATTCTTATAATCAGAAAATATCAGTAAATAAATATTTTAGGATATTTTATTCTATGGCTTCTTAATAGATGTATTATAGTTAGCCTTTTGAATACTATCAAGGCAACTCAAGTTTTTAAAAAATTAATGGGAGGCATGCTTAGAAGCATCATTTTGAAACAGAAGAAGCTAATTTTCTTATTGCTTTATATAGCAATAACACCACTGACTAGGGAAGAAGGCATATATAAAAATTAATAAATATCACTTAATGAGATTAATTTGAACATAGGTTCAAAATTATTCCCTTTAATCTTTTATCATTAATAAAAACAATAACCAGGCATATCATTCTTTCGATACAAGTTATTAAGTACTTCCTGGTGTCAAGCACTGTGCTACATCTGAATCAATGAAGACTCACATGTGTCTGAAAAACTCACATAAAAATAATATACCTTCAGAGATGTTCACTTGGAAACAAAAATAAAGCAGGAAAGGTAGCAGAAAGAGCCATTGTATGTTTTCCTTTTACATGGATCTCAGTAGTATACTTGTTTCCCTCCTCAGTCATTTGAAATGAAACTTTTTTCTATTCTGTCTTTTTGTTGATGAATATAGTTAAAAAGCTAATGATTATAGTAAAAGCTAACTGCTTCTGTTCTCTTTCCAATAGAGTAGATTATGAACGCATCAAGGATGTTGGCCCCGAAAGGGCAGCCTCCGAGTGGCTGCTGCGCTGTGGGGCCATGGTACGCTATCACGGCCAGCAGAGGTGGCAGAAGGACTACAACAACCTCCCCACAGGCCCTCTGGACAAATACAAGATCCAGGCCATCGATGCCACTGACTCTTGTATCATGAGCATTGGATTTGATCACCTGGGTAACTACCTTATCATTTGCTTATGAAAAATGCAGGTGATTTACAGTGACATTTTGTTGCAGTTGAATATTATAGTCGTAGATATGTCCTTTTTGCCTTTTTAATACCATCCAGATTGTTTCTTCTTATTTATAATATTTTCAAATTAGAAGTTATAAGCATCTTCCTCTCCTTTTCCCCCTTACTAAGCTTGTCTCTACATGACTTTATTCTGTAGTTTATTGACTTAAAATCCAAGCCTTGTTTGTCAAACTGTCTTTGTCAAACTTTTGTCATTGAGAAATCCTCAATGATGTAGGGAATAATTCTATCCATACAGCTTCTGCTTGAGTGGGTTTTGTGTGTGTGTGTGTGTGTGTGTGTGTGTGTGTGTGTGTGTTTCTCCCAGTCCCTGGATGTTTCACTGCAAAATAGTCTTATCAGCACAACCTGTATGGTGAATACCGTGTATGGTTATTAAGGTGACTGTTTGTTCCAGTTTTCCTGGGACTGAGCAGTTTCCCAGGACATGGGACTTTCAATCCTAAAATCAGAACAGCCCTGGAAAAACTAGGAGATTGGTTACTTATTTATTTTTTTTAAATATACATATTTTATTGATTTTTTACAGAGAGGAAGAGAGAGGGATAGAGAGTCAGAAAAATCGATGAGAGAAAAACACCGATCAGCTGCCTCCTGCACACCCCCCACTGGGGACATGCCCACAACCAAGGCACATGCCCCTGACCGGAATTGAACCTGGGACCCCTCAGCCAGCAGGCTGACGCTCTATCCAAACTGGCTTTGGTGAGAGTTGGTTATTTTAATAGTAAAACAGGTTCTTAAACTGCTCTTTTCCTCCTAGAGGGCCTGCAGCATGTTGAAAAAATAAGGCTATGCAAGTGTCATTATATCGAGGATGGCTGTTTGGAGAGAATTAGTCAATTTGAAAATTTACAAAAAAGTTTGTTGGAAATGGAAATAATTTCATGTGGGAATGTCACAGACAAAGGCGTCATTGCTTTGCATCATTTAAGGTAGGTGGTCAGTGCCAAAATGGAAACTTGATAATGATGTTAAGGTGAAAAATCAGAATTTAAAACACTTGAGGGATGGTGTCTTGTTTTGAAAAATACAAGAAAATGACTTAACTTTTGTCTTTAATACTTTAAAACAGTTGAAATTATCAACCTTAATACATTATGGTTTTATTGCATTTTTTAGGAATATTGCTTTAAAAAACATAAATCTAAGTAAAGCTCCTAGCATGGTGCCTGCTACAGTAAGCTCTCAAACATTAGCTATTAGGCTTCTTCTCTGTTTTTAAAACTAATTTCCACCATGTTTTGCCAATAACCTATCACAGGAAGTTTGAGAATTTTATACATTAGAACCAAAAGTACTAGATTATTTGTTTCTTACATTAGTTGAGGCTTCAAGGCTTCATCTTGAGTTCCCTTAAGTTTGTTTCCCTTTCTAGGTTAAGATTCACATTTTATCACTCTTAGGCAAAGGTATCCTATGCCATAATATACATATGGTATTTGGAAAGATTCAGCTAGAATTATTGATGTAATTCTGAACAACGGATATATACATTCTGTGTGTAGTTTTTTCTAAAAGTCAATAAATCAAGTTTAGTTTTAATGCTATAATTGAAATAACTTCTTTGTTTTTTTACAGAAACCTCAAGTATTTGTTGCTAAGTGATCTTCCTGGAATAAGAGAGAAAGAAAACCTTGTTAAAATCTTTAAGACATTACTACCTTATATGGAACTAAAATTAGACTTGAGTCAAAATAATAATCATCAATAAGTGCCTTATTCAATATAAAGTATCATTTAAAATTATTGACCCTAAACAGCAACAAATATTATGTAAGCATCAATAGAATTATAAGGACATCATATCATGATATTTTAAAAGCGGAAAGTCCATCATGTAGAAAATAAATATTCAGATGAGACTCATTAAAGTTACTAAACTGGAAGTGATGCAAACTTGGTAACATTTTAATTCTAATTTACTCATTTTATATAGATATCTCGTGATGTAGATACTTAGAATTCTTTAAAATCATTTAAATGTACAACACAGATGTTCTTTGTTGTATTTTAACAGCACTTTAAAATTATTGAAGCATCCTATATAATAAAGAGGTAATATGCAAATTAACCATCACACCCTTACCAGATGGCTGCCTATGACCAGGCTGGCAGGGGGGTTAGTGAGGGATGACCAAAAAACTAAACAAGCAGGCTGTGTGGGGCTACCAAACCAGCAGTGGGGTTAGTGAGGGACAACCAAACAACTGAACAGCAGGCTTGTGGGGTGACCAGGCCAGTAGCGGGGGGCCATGAGGGGCGACCAGGCTGGCGGGGAGGCAGGTGGGGGTGACCAGGCAAGCATGGGGGCCAGTTGGGGGCAATCAGGCTGGCAGAGGGGGGCAGTTGGGGATGACCAGGCCGGCAGGTGAGGGGGCAGTAAGAAGCAACCAGGCTTGTGGGGGGGCAGTAAGGGGTGACCAGGCTGGTGGGGGGGCAGTTAGGAGCAACCAAGCCAGCAGGGAGGGAGCAATTGGGGGCAACCTGGCTGGCAGCAGGGGACAGGGGCAATTAGGCCGTCACACAGAGGCAGTGAGGGACAATCGGGTCAGCAGGGGGAACAGGGCGATCAGGTCAGCAGTTCAGGATTGTGAGAGGGATGTCCAACTGCCGGTTTAAGCTCAGTCCTCCAAGGGATACCGGATTGGAGAGGATGTAGGCTGGCTGAGCCATCTCTTGCCTCCCAGCACAAATTTGTGCACCGGGCCTGTAGTGTCACTATAAATGTACAATTTGGAAAAACTGAAAGCTAAATTTCAGATTCATTGAAGTCAATTATGCCAAGAAGTAAGTGGTTGTAGAGGCATTCATATTGCTCTCAGGATTTGCATGCCTTTCTCATAATCCTGCATTCCTGTGTTTTTCATACTTACACTCTTTCTATGAAGGACTAGTTTCTGGTTAATTTGTCTATTTGCTAAGCTTAGTCTGGCATTTTATTATAAGTAGACATATATACTTGGATGAATTCAAATAGTTCTGCTGATTGCATTAGAATAGAGGAAACAGTCATGAAGATCAGCACTTTTTGCTTAAATTAAAAAATTGCTATAAACAAAATTTTAACATGTCAATTAGAAATGGATTTTTATCTCCCCATATAACATTGGATACTATTTCCTATGAGCTCAAGGATATCATAAAGAAGGATAAGCACAACATTCATTTTATATCTAGAAAACAGTGTTAAACCTTATCATTAAGTAAATAAATATCTTTTTACCTGCTTAAAGTGGCCCTGATTCAGTTATTGTTAGTTATATGTCAATTTTTTGTGGATTTCTATACATTTGGCTTGAATATAACTTTGCAAATAATGTCAAAATAAACACTTTCTATGATACAGAATTCAGGTAGAAAATGAATTTTAATTGTGTTCAGAAACTAGCTTATATAAATAGCACATACCATAAATGATACACTACTTACTAATATAATTGCCACTGTCATGTAAAAGAATCAAAAATTAGTAGATTTACAAAAAAGACAAGGATATAGAATAGTTCCACGTGAAACAGTGGGTGATTCCATGTTAAGAAAAGATTACAGGTATGGTTAAACATAGCATACATTTAGTAGAACTCATAAAAAATAAGCACTTATGTCTCAGATTTGTTTGATTACCATATGATGAGGCAACTGATTCACCAGTTTAGTCTGGAGCTACTTTTCTATTCTGAGTGGTTTTCTGTAAAACTATTAGGTTAATCAGGCAGTTATAGTCATCTGCCTCGTCAAGTGCATTGTTTTGGGTTAAGGAAAAGAAGAAAAACACCAAATGTAAACTAGTCACAGAAGTTGGATATCCTTCTTTGTCCTTTGAATCAAAGTTATATAACAAGAATTAGATAATACTGGGATTATTCAGCTTAGTATCAACTCTAGGCAAGAAGCTACATACATCAGGAAGACTATGGATATCATTAAATTGGGTGGATATCGTTAAATTGATTGAACAATTGCCAGAATTTGGTGGATTACTTAGCTATAAGTGAAAAAGGTCATATACTCTCATGAAAATTAACATATCAGTAAACTTAGGGTGTAGAAGAAATGTTTCGAAGAAACAGTAAAATACAACTTTCAAAAACTATGGCTGAGAACTGCTATGTATAGGAGCATTACATCAACCAAAAATGGCTTTGAGTTGTAAGAAACAGAATTTTATATTGCGGTTGTATCCAGGTGACAAGGATGAAAAAGCTGTTTGAATAGAAGCAGTAGGCCAGATCAGAGCTAATGATGTCATCATTTTAAGTATCACTGTGCAAAGCTAGGAATCCTCAGTAATACATTATTTTTTTTTTAATCCTCACCTGAGGATATTTTTTCCATTGATTTTTAGAGAGTGGAAGGAAGGGAGCAAGAGAGAGAAAGTGAGAGAGACACATCCATTAGTTACCTCCTGCACACACCCAACCAAGTCAGGGCAGGGATCCAATCTGTAACCCGGATATGTGTCCTTACTGGAAATGGAACCTGAGACCCTTCGATGCGCAGGCCAACACTCTAACCACTGAGCATACCAACCAGCACTTACACTACATTTTTATTATTAGTTGTTAGTATAATGTACACACACACAGAGTGGAGCAAAAGTAGGTTTACAGTTTTGAATACATGAAACTCAGAGTTTATTTGTATTGTTTGCTATACAAACAACTGTAAACCTACTTTTGCCCCACCCTGTGTGTATATATATTAGGTTTACAACCCAATGTCTTCCATGACCCAAGTAAAAGCTCATAAGCAATTTCTTCCAAAACCCAGATCCCTATAGCCCTACCTGCAGATCTGTGCAAGCCTGAGGCTGAGGTGGAGAGAATGTTCTAAATGTTTTTAGGCTGGCAGGCGTAGTTCCTGTGAAGACCATAGGTTTCATTCTACTCCTTAATCACTTTGGTCAGTTGCCAATCTCCACGCCATTGTTTGCAAGGGGAATTGAGTGAACAAATGTAGATGGATATAGTAAATCCATCTTGCCTGAAAAAGTGACAAAGATGCATCCTTTACTAAAGGTAAAGACAAAAGTACATGGGAAAAATATCTATAAATATATCACTAAATACATAAGCATATATTAGTCTTTTGTGATAATCCATGATTTAACATATTTTGAACAACTCTTAAATATTCAAAAAATGGTTTAAAATTTAAAAAGCAAGGGATAGAGCAAGCAGTAAATGTGATTTTAAGTATTTTGATTTCAAGAACAAAAACTTTTTAAATACAATATTGAAACAATCTGAAAAAGCAGGAGATATAGGATCCAAGGAAATGCATCTGGGTATTTTGTAACCCATTTTAAACTTGTTGCGTATTGTACAATTGAAGCATAAATCTTTTTTTTATATGACTAATTTTGCCAGAGGAATGGGCAGTAGATATTATTTATATTTCTGTCCATAAGTCCAGCTACTTAGATACAACAAAAACACAAGTGGAAATCAAAATGATTTTTTCCTTTTTGTTCGGGACACCACCATCAAGCATGGAAGAGTGCTTCTGGAATTTCCCTGCACATCTTGCCAAGTGGCTTTCTCCAGTTAGTTATGTTTCCTCAACATTGTGATGGTCTTCAATCAAATGCATGTTTTATTTTCTTGGGGTTATTGATCAGTTCTTTTTTGTCATCAACCTCCAAGCTCCTTAAATGTTTGGAAAATAGTAGTTAAGTTTCTTGGTATTATAGTAGTACTTCTTATTCTCCAAAGCTGGAAGGATGCTGCTGCTAGTGAGCTGAGGTAGGTTCTGAAACTGAAAATATAACACACAGAATTAGGTTCAGCACCATGCACTTTTTTCATTGTTGATAACACATCACAAAAGATGTAAATAAGTAAAACTTTTAGCACAGAAATATTTTCTGCCCAGAATCCAGAACCTGAGAAAGGACAAAATATTTAAATTTGGTCTCTGCTTTTCCTTTTAGAGGTTTATTTCATATTAAAAAGAAAAACATGCACATTAAAGAAAATTTAGAGAATGTAAAAATGAAAAAATTTACATGTTAACATTATAGGGAAAAAGCGGACATTCACAGACCTTAGGATCCTTTTAAGCCAATTATAGCAAAGAAAACTGAAGTTGGGGCATTTGGGCGATTTACCCACTTATTCCTTGGTTAAAAAGAACTGCTCCCTCATGCTATCAGAAAATGTCATGTGAAAGTAAGGAGAACACACATATTATTTGTATCCATATAAATAAAAGGCTAAGCAACCGTCCGACCGGCAGGTGGTAGGTATGACGCACACTGACCACCAGGGGTCAGACGCTCTACGCAGGAGCTGTGGTGCACTTCCAGGGTGCGTCATCCAAGAACTGCCCTCTGGCAATCTGGGGCCCCTCGGGGGATGTCGGAGAGCCAGTTTCAATCCAATCTCCACAGGCCAGGCTGAGGGACCCCACCTGCCGGAAGGATCCTGTTCACAGACACCCTTTGAGCCAGTGTCACCCCACGTCCGACCAGCCAGGGAGGGAACATGGGAGGTTGGCTCCAGGGCGTGTCCAGTCTGTGTCTCGCTCAGTCTCACCTCACTGGCTACCTAATAATTTCTTTTCAATGTGCACTGGGGCACTATTTGTACTATATGGCCGTAGATATCTGAAAAGCAGGTACTTTTTATTACGTTTAAATCAAACAGTCAAGTTGTTCAGTACTCACAAGTAATATACAAATTAGTGGTATTCCCATATTCTCACAAGTAAAAATATTTACATCAAGACCCTTTATTCTTGAACACAAAGACACGGAAAGATATGGGGAGACAGTCTATTTCCAGTCTGTTTTGCTATTTGGATCACATATGATAGAGAAAAAAATAAAACAAAAGCATTCTTAATTTTGAAACTGGTCTATCTTAGGGCCCTGGAATTCATTTGGTACCTGATCCTAATGGCCTGTACTACTTCTTTCCTCCTCCAAACCCCACACGCACCATCAGATATCACTCAGCGTGCTGTGCAGTGGAGGCTGCAAAGGGAAAGTGTAAGGCAAGAGTATTTAAGCGTAAGGGGTATCTAGGCAGTTCCGGAAGTGACTAGGGCAGCCAGCTCGTTTTAGTTGTGGTCCCAACTACAGTCCATTCTAAATTTTTACGGCTTTGGCTTCTGACAAGGAAATGTAAGGCCACTCTGCCATTTTACGCCAATCACCACTCTTCATGGGCTCGCAGTGTGCAGTTTGGATGCTATCTGGTTGCATGCACTGCCCTGCTGCTGTCACTGAAGGCACTCATCACTGCATTTACCCTAGCCAACTCTGCTGATAAAGGATCAGGACGGAAAACACTTCCTTTTGGGGATAAACCTGGAATGTCAATTAATATTCAAGGCAAACAAGATGACCTGTGATAAATCTGATCTCATTTTCCAAAACTGGACTGATGCCCGGCTATGACCTGTGCTCACGTATGCCAAACACCCTGCCCTGTGTGGCAGCTAGGAACTGCTGGGCAAGGACACCTTTAGGATTCAAGGAGAAGGGGCTGTCTCTTGGGGCCCTGGTTGGGAAATCATGTGACCAGTGCCCTGGGGCTGGAACGAGGTGCTGGAGCTGCAGGTCACAATGGCCACCTCAAATACAGACTCGGACTCTTTCCCCAGGTGGCAGGTCTGAAATCATTCGCAGCTGTAACCTTGGATGCTTTTGTGAAGCAGTGCCCCATTTTTACCCCAGGCAGGTGCTTTGGGTTCTGTCTGAGGGTCTTCCTTGTTGGTTTGTCATGATATTTCGCCAAATCCCTTATTTCTCTGATGCTGTCAAAATATGGGTGCTGCAGCAGCTGCTCACACGTCAGTCTCTCAGCAGGATTCATGCGAAGACAGCCCTGAAAGAAGAGAACATTTCATCTTACTTAAAAAAAAAAATTACTAACTAATTAATGTCATTTCTTTCTCTTTTGTAAGATTAGTTACAGTTTAATCAGTTGGGAACTAGACGGGGAGGGAGGAAGTAAGGGGGTGGGGAACATCCAATCATGATTTTAGTTCCTTCCATGATCATTCCTAAATGAGAAACCACTTAATAAATACTTTCTAGAAATAGTATCAAAAAGTCATTTACCCACCTTGTTCTCTTCTTTAAAAAAAAATATTTTTTTAATTGAATTTTTACAGAGAGGAAGGGAGAGGGATAGAGAGTTAGAAACATCGATGAAAGAGAAACATCCATCAGCTGCCTCCTGCACACCTCCCACTGGGGATGTGCCCGCAACCAAGGTACATGCCCTTGACCAGAATCAAACCCAGGACCTTTCAGTCCGCAGGCTGATGCTCTATCCACTGAGCCAAACCGGTTTTGGCCACCTTGTTCTCTTTGGAGGCAGTTGGTACTCTGCCCCAAGGGAGGAGGATACGGGTCCATTTAGCCTGTTTAGTCCCTTGCATGTACTTTGTAAAAACTAGAGGTGGTGCCCTCGCCAGTTTGGCTTAGTGGGCAGAGTGTTGGCCTGTAAACAGAAGGGTCCCGGGCTCTCTTCTGGTCAAGGGCACATGCCCAGTTGTGGGTTCAATCCCTATTTGGGGTCTTGCATGAGGCAGCCAATCAATGATTCTCTCTCATCATTGATGTTTCTCCCTCTTCCCCCCTCTTCCTTCCTCTCTAAATCAACAAAAGAAAAAAACAAAACAATTAGATATGTGTTTTTTTAATTTAAAAAATAATACCTACACATGGTAAAAATAAAATGCCCTAGATTCGGCAAAATCCACTACTCTAGTGTTCCATTCCCCCTTGTAAAATCAGATATTTTTGTATGTTCCTTCAGAAATAGTCTATGCATTACAAGCACTCGTGTCTTCATGGAAACAGAGACGTAATATACATCCCTTTATATTACAACATTCTTAACTATTTGCTTTGCCAGCGAGTAGGCCATAGGGCTCATAATTGGATAGATTAAATCTCATGACCCCATACCACAATGAACTGTCTCACGTTTTAAATTATGTTATAAATGCATCAGTAAATGCATTAGATACTTTTTGAAAGGGATGGAACATTGACAGTAATTTGCAAAGATTTTAATTGGCACCTCATTCACATAAGACATATTTCTAAAAATGTGTATGTATATAAAGTTTTAAAATCAAAATCTACTTCAAGTATACTAGGGAGTTGGCTCTTTAAAAGGATCCTATGGCTAAACATTTTCTGAAGGATCCTTTTTAAAAACAAGCACCACTCCTCTGAAATTTCTATTTTGTGTAAATGTAGAAGTCAAATACAATGTTGGGTTTATTTAAAGTGGTGTGCGGCTCATTTGATTGGGCATCTTCCCATGTACCGAAAGGTGACTGGTTCGATTCCCAGTTAGGGCACAAGCCTGGATTTTGGGCTCCATTCCAGGAGGGGGCATGCAGAAGGCAGCTGATGAATATCTCCCTTTCCCTCCCTCTTCTAAAAATCCATTTAAAAAAAAATCTTTAAAATGAAAAACACTTACAGATGTTATTACTGTAATAGAATAGGACCCATTTTAAAAACTGAAAATATTCATGCTTTTGAAAGAAGAATTCTAAAAGGAACACTTTCCAATCTGTGGATTCCCCAGTGAGAACAGAGGCCATGTGCTTCCTAGTTGGCTGAAAACCATACTTTTACCTTCAAGAGCCCCAGCGCAGAATAAGAGATGTTTGGAAACTTTAATTCAAGTGGTTCCTGTTAAAAAAAAAAAAAAAAAGAAAAAGAAAGAAAGAAAAGAAAGAAAAGAAAAGGAGTTTTATTTGCAGCATGTATTCAAATAGGAGGTGACCTCAGACTGCATTTCTTTTGAGTGAGAATCATCTTCCTGGCACCTTCCTTGCCTCCTCCACCCTCTGCCCATCACACCTGCCACCTGCAACAACCTCCCTTCGCCTGTTTCACAAGCTCCTTCTCTCCCCACCTCCACATTGCGTTTCCAATTTTCTTCCTAACCACTCCTCTTACTTCCTGGAAAACTGATGCAGGTAGCAACTTATGAGAAGACAACATTAGGAAAGAAAAAAAATTGTCAAGCAATTGTTATTTTCTTCTTCTTCTGCCTCAATGTCTATAACTTGCCTTGCCTTGCCTCAGAATACCTTTTGGCACCAACACTGGCTTTTCTATACAGGGGCCCTATTATTTGCCTTTATTGGCACTCACAGAAACGAAGCTTCCAAATAGATTTTTTGTTACCCAGGGGACCAGATGATTCTCGGTTTTCCGAAGTAAACGGCTGTGTCCTACCACGAGAGCCTGCTGTCTCCCTGATCATCCTGTTGTTTAAACTGTCTCCCAAGCAGATATTCATCAAACTCTCTCTGGCCCTGGAAGACCAGTCACATGCTGGAGTCCATGAAGAATAACAAACAGGATAAAGTGGGAGGAATGCCTAATGTCAGACAGACAGACAGGCCAGTGAAGGAGAGATGCTGCTGACAAAGAGGCTAATCGGAGACGGGTGCTGAGGGAAAAAAAGAGCCAGCCATCTGAGGGAAACAGATGGCCAGCTGTGCTGAGCGTAAACGGCGGCAGTGTGGCCAGGCTCCTGGAATGAATCACTCCCTGGTGCTGCAAGCACAGTGTTCTCTTGGTCAGGGAACCAGCCAACAGCAGCCAGTTCCTGAGTGTGCACTTATTAATCACGGAATAGAGACAAGAGCCTCAGATTTGGAATTCCCTATAATACACGGAGGAAAAAAATCCTAAAGCTCCCATCCCCCCAGCTTAAGTCAACAATTTTCAACTGCGTGCTGAAAGAATTTTTAAAACATGCAATACCTGACCTCTTTTCCCTTAGGCCAGTGGTCGGCAAACTCATTAGTTAACAGAGCCAAATGTCAACAGTACAACGATGGACATCTCTTTTGAGAGCCAAAGTTTTTAAACTGAAACTTCTTCTAACGCCACTTCTTCAAAATAGACTCGCCCAGGCCGTGGTATTTTGTGGAAGAGCCACACTCAAGGGGCTAAAGAGACGCATGTGGCTCGAGAGCCACAGTTTGCCGACCTCGGTCTTAGGTTATCAAATTAAAAAATGACAACAGCCAACACAATAGCTGCCTGGTGTGAATGAATCAAAATTACACCTATTGCCGAAATCGGTTTGGCTCAGTGGATAGAGCGTCAGCCTGTGGACTGAAAGGTCCCAGGTTGATTCTGGTCAAGGGCATGTACCTTGGTTGCGGGCACATCCCCAGTCGGGGGTGTGCAAGAGGCAGCTGATGGATGATTCTCTCTCATCAATGTTTCTAACTCTCTATCCCTCTCCCTTCTTCTCTGTAAAAAATCAATAAAATATATTTTTTTAAAATTACACCTATTTTTTTTTGTCAGGTTGGCAAAAATATATTTTTTGGTGTGCACAGAATTTTAGCAATTGGTTTCTATGTGCCATGAGATGAACTAGGTTGAAAACTGCTGGCTTCTGCATTTCTCTTGCTATGTCTGTGTGTTGAATCTGAGCACGGCCAGGGATGGACCTGGCGCTGCAGACACCGAGCCCTGCTGTCTCAGCACCAGTGCCTGCGAGGCCGCTGGCCGGCCGGCTGGGATGGGATGGGCCCACCCTGCCTGCTGGGTCCGTTTTCCGGGCCCCAGAAGCAGCAGGGTGACTGCCCAGCAGAGGGACTCAGGCACAGATGTTGAACCAGCACGTTCCCTCTGCTGCTTCTTCCTGTGTTTCTGTCAACAGGAAATCCCCTGCAGGACAACCTCTGGGAAACCACGGGAAGCCTTTCACATTTATGAAACCGGGGCTGTTTCTGAGGCTCCACCGGCAGACAGGGAGCAGGAAACCACGAAGGGACATTTCGTGTGGAACTGGGAATGTCCAGGTCGCCCGGGAGCCAGCTGGGTCGCCTCCCAGCTGGCAGGTGACATTCCTGCCTCTGTCCCCGCGTGCTCCCAGCACGACCCACTTTTCCTCTTGCCAGTGGCTGCGGGAGTGGGGAAAGGAAGCCCTCGCTGTGAGACAGGCCAAGGGGCTGAGGGAACAAAGCTCAAGCGGAACTTGATGGAACTTCCAGGTGGACACTGAGCACCCGAGGGTTAGTTTCCTTTTGAAAGTACTTGCTTCAACAGTAGAAACTCAGGATTTTGTGCTCTGAAATGTTTTTGATGATCATATAGGCTCATTAGAAGACATAAAAAAAATATTTAAAACCATAAAGGAAGAAAAAAATTACCCCACCACAGAGAGATACATGCTGTTAATATTTTTGTATGTATTTTTGAAGCCACTTGTTTCACAAATGTAAAAAGCTTTGCATGATTTCCCAAAGATTGTCAGATTTTTTATACTTAGATTAGAAGCCCGGTGCATGAAAATTCATGCACTGGAGGGGAGGCGTCCCTCAGCGCAGCCTTCCCCCTTCACAGTCGGGGAGCCCTCACGGGTGGGAGGTAAACTGGTGATCAGGGGAAAGTGATGCCCCCATTACAACTCTGCTGCTGTCACTGCTGGCAGCACAAACCTAGGTGGGCCCTGGTTATCTGAGTCTCGGACAGCCCTGGGCTGGCCCTGTGCTCCTGGAGGGCTAAAGGGACTGGAGGACTCTGGAGGCAGGTGTGCAGAAGGCCCGGACGTGCTGTATGCCTGCCACCCTAGTGGGGCTGAGGGGACAGGGCATCGCCATCTTGTGGCTATGGGTGCCTACATCTTTGAGGATGTGACAATCAATTAGCATTTTCCCTCCTTATTGGCTGTGGGCTCCACCATCTTTGTGAGGGTGTGATGGTCAATTAGCATATTCCCTCTTTATTAGATAGGATATAAATACATGTATTGTCTATTAAATACCTATTAAAATTATTTCAAATTATATATACTGTTTCATAACCATTTTTTTCCATCTATGAACTTTTTCCAAGTGAATACAAAAAATCTATTTTTATTGGCTCTGTGGTATTTCTATTGTAAGGCTATATTCCATAAGTTATTTAATTCCATACTGATGGGATATTAAAGGAAATTATTTCTATTAAAGAATGCTATGTCCTTATGTATTTGTCTAATGATTTCATTGGAATAAATTCTTAAAAGTGGACTAAGAGTATGCACATTTTCAATTTTTCGGGTTTTTTTAGAATGAGTGCGTTCCCCACATTGGTCATAGAGGACTGGCATGGGGGTGAGGCTGGCCATGCTAGTTCAGGAGAGCAGGGCATTGGGAAAAGGCGGGATTTTCCTGGGTGAGTCACTGTCTAAACGTAGGTAGCTCTGAGCTACCTACCTTCAACTGCTGAAAAGGACAAAAGACAGGTGAGGTCAGGGCAGGCACCCTGCATTCCTGTCCATCAGGCTCTCTCACCTCTGTTATCAGCAGCTTACTCTAAATTAGAACTGACAGCGAGGGCCTTGCTAGCCAATTTGCCCCAATTTCCTTTTTACTCTTAGACCTTCCAGGGCAGACGAGGCCATGGGGCTGACATTCAGCCCTGACATGCAGAATTCTTTCCATAATGGGTCACTCACCATATCTTCAGGGTCTGGAATTTTCACCCCACTGAAGTACTGATTGGTGCTAAATACTTGCTGGTGCCTAGGGATGAGATCTCCTTTGGACAAGGAGAAAGAAGAAGATAAAATGAGATGGGTTAGCAAGCCCTGACCTGTGGTTTCCCTCCCTGGTGCTGTGTCTGTCTGTGCTTACACCTCTGAAGTCTGCAGTCTGCTCTCCCTATCAGAGGGAGGGAGAGGCCCTGAGACAAACTCAACAATCTATGCTGAGACCTGCAGTGCGGTGGGCGCTGTGCTAGGCACTGGAATAGAAGGCTACAAGGTTCTTGCTCCTCAAACCAAACAACTCAGAAGCGCACACACACACACACACACACACACACCAAATAGCACCCCTCTTTTTAACAGCAAAAGTACAATAGCTATAAATCAAAATCATGTTAACTGAATCCTGATGGGTTCAGACCAAAGTGCATTGGCCTAACAGAACAGTGCCTGACACATAGCAAGCACTCAGTACCGTATTTTTCGGCGTATAAGGGACCCCCTAATTTTACAGTTAAAACATAGGTTTAGGCCTATATTTGCTGTAGAAGACTACCCCCCACTTCCGAGGCAACACCAGTTCTTTTTTTTAATAGACCGCCTCTCTGACTCTGGCCAATCTGAGCAGGCTTTTTTTTTCATTTCAAAAGTCGTCTTATACACCGGAAAATACGGTAAACCTCTGAGGAAGGAAAGGAAGTAGGAAGGGAGGGAGAGGGATCACAGAGGATCTAGCTGGAAGGAAGACATTTATAAACTGGAACCACCTTTTCTTGTTTCACCAAGTAGCCATCACCTAAAAAAATCTCATTTTTTGCTGCTGTTTAGAAGTATTTACGATACCAAACAATGAAACGAAAGGCATGTCTGTATTCTGGGGACTATGTAAGGCCCACTCCACTCACATGTCAGCCAAATCAGATAAAACTGTCCTCAGGAAGATTCTAGGGGTAGAATCTGAAGAGGAATTTTGAGAACACAAGGAGATCCTCAGAGCAGGGCGCCCCTGAGGCACACTCAGACCCACCTCGTGGAGCAGAGTGAACAAAAACCCTCCAAACCAGGACCCCAGAAACGCTGCTGCTGGGCTGGGCTGAAGTTCCTGCCACAGGGTATCACGTTGTCTAATTTTACCAGTTTGGTTTGGAACTTTACCTCCCACTCAAACCCCACAGCTGCTGGCCCACCCCGTTTTCAACGGGAACAGCCAAAATATACTCTCGCCCCAGACCTCAGTGGTCTTCATCACAACAGCAGTGCCTGGGCCTTAATAACCTTCTTCCATCAGAGCCGGGGGGAGGCGGGGAGAGGGGGTCCTAAAATCACCAGGAGAAACACAGCAAGGAAGGCGAGTGTCCCCAGTCAGTCTCTTCTGTGTCATCGAAAAGAGCCACCAGCAAATACCTACTGCCTCCCGTGTAGACAGTAAACGCTGGCGGGCAGATAGAAATGAAAGATACCGTCTCACCCTCAGGCAGCAACAGGATATTTGGGGAGGAAAAGGCCTGGTGACAGCAGATGCTACAAGAGTTTAGAAGAGGGCAAGTGGGTTCTCAGGGAAGGTAGCAGCCACCCTCCTGACTTCTGAAGCGGACAATCACCGATATAGATTGTCTCTCTCCTTCTCTCTTCTCTTCCCCTTGCCCCCTCCACCCCACGAGCAGAAAGAAAGGAAGGAGTGGGAAAGCAAGTCAAGCAAAGGGACGATAGATGGACAACTCTCTTCCTGACACCTAGAAGGGTGAGAATCTTTCTCTGAGTAATCCAAACAAGCCCGGCAGGCTGGAGGGAGGACAACTGACGAGTGAATAACCACATCATCATAAACGAGACGAAACACATCAGCATCCTGTACTCTGCTCAGCCCTTCTAGGACTGTATGCTTTTATTGTTGCTATGATCATCATTCAGAGTTTATGCCAAAGAGACAATCATGTCTTTTTGGACAAAAGTGCACACTCAACATTGTGGATTCTTTTTATTAAAACAAATGGAACACCTTTAATAGTCATTTAAAGGAGGCGGTGGGAGTGTCCCTCCTTCGTAATGATAAAGGGCATTAGGTAAGACTAGGAACGTGGCTCTGCCCTGCACTGATTTGGGTAAAACTATTGAGCTGCCCAAAAGGTAGGACAGAGACAGCACTCACCCAAGGTTTTCCTGATCAGGTAGAGCTGATCCACATCGGATTTTCCCGGCCACAGAGGCTCCCCAGACAGCAGCTCAGCGAAGACACAGCCGATTGCCCACACATCGACCGGGGGGCCGTACTGCATGTCCCCCACCAACAGCTCCGGGGAGCGGTACCACCTGGTGGCCACGTAGTCTGTGTAGTGGTCACTTGGTCCAGCTGGTCGGCGATGGGACGTGGGAAACAGAGAGAACAGTGCAAAGGTGGAATCAAAACCGGGAGGGGGAAGACCTGAGACATCCAGCTGTGCCCCATCATGCGGCTTTTCTAAACCAGTGGGTCCTCGATACTACTTGCACATTAAAATCACTTGGAAGATAGAACTTTTAAAATTACTGCTGCTTGGGAATCAGTACGGTTTTCATAGTTATAATTCCCCAGGTGATTCTAACCTGCAGCCAAAGGTGAAACCCAACCCACCCTTCTAAACTAGTACTTCTGAAAAGTGCTATAGAGCCGGGCTATAGCGTACATTTTTAAACTACTGTATGTGTCTACCTATTTTCAGTAATTACATAATTGGAATTTATCATAAGTTCTTATATTTATATACTAGTGGCCCGGTGCACACAATTCACACACATTAAAAGGGAATTAATTAGAGGAAATATGTTAATATTGCTATTTGTCCTTTCTCTATAATAGAAGTATGAGAGATGAAAGGAAATGAGTAAAATGTATATGAAAATAGTATATGAATTTATTAATAAGTAAACAATAACAAGATGATATAAGAACAACAAAGACATGATATAAAAATAACAAAAACATCATATGAAAACAGCAAATCCACCACCCCTGGCCGGGCCAAGAGGCCCAAACACTCCAGCGTCGGGGCTGAGGGGACTGGGCGCCGCCATCTTGTGGCTATGGGCACCACCATCTTTGTGACGGAGTGACACTTAATTTGCATATTACTCTTTTATTAGATAGGATACTTACTATATAGAAGAACTAGCTTTCGATAGCATTTAGATCATTTATTATATAAAGAATCTTTCCATCATTTATCCTTAAGAGAAACTTCAATACTCACTCAAAAGTCGAGCAAATCCAAAGTCACACAGCTTAATCACTGAATGTTTTGTGATGAGGATATTTTCTGGCTTCACATCTCTGTGTATGCACTAGTCACAAAAATCGAACCAAAACAGATTACTAAAGGGCAACTATACTGTGTGGGATCAATAAAACACATGAATAAGGAGCAAAAATAATTGAGAAATCGTTTCAACTTCTCACTGGCCTTTTGGATAGTAGGATGAAAAATAACCAAAATTGGCAAAACATAAGCATGAAGTAAATCTAGTACTACACCTATCATAGCCTGAATCCTCCTCAATTCCTGAAGGTCCCAAAGGGACCAACAAGGGCACCCAGGTAACCTTAAATTGTAGTTAAACGTTTTTTTCTAGTATGTCTTATGTCCTGTTTGGCATGTATGTAATCTGGCAACCCTCCGTGAAAGGGAAACGCTGAAAAGCTTAGACAGGGCTTTGCTGGAGCCGCAAGTTGGTGCCTAAGCAGGATTCATACATAGTTCAGCTGTTTAACAGAACAGAACACCGTCCCCTGGTAAACAGGACAAGCGCTGGGCCCGCCGAGATAAACTGGGGAAGAGAAGGGCGGAACCAGCGCCTCCTGCCAGACCTCCCTTCCAGCCCTGACATTTGTCCTGACAAGATAAACAAGAGCCGGCAGCGCTCACCCTCTGAGGGAGCGTCGCTAGATGTCAGCTCCGCCCCACACACAAGCGTGCTCGGAGCTGCACCCGCCCCGCCCGTTAGACCCAAATCACCTGTGGTTTCCAAACCACAGCTGACATGGTTCAACAGGGAGATGTTCGAAGCATGCTTAAGGATCTTCACATGACTTTCTTATTACATACTTTCCTTGGCAAAGAACGAAACAACCATTGCATTAACAATTACATAAACACAAGTGGGTTAAAATGCTTTGCAGGGTTCCCAGTAAATCATCTTGCCCTCGTCCAAGCTTGTTCCTCTCGGGAGGAGAATGTTGGCTCTTGCTGCAAGGAGAGACCCCCTCCGGCTGTGGCTGACGCCCTGGGGCATTCTTGGCTTTCTAGCATCTGGAAAGAGGACAGAGGTTCCTCTTGGGCCTGGCCTAGCACTCTCTCCACAAGGCCTTCGGGGTGAGAGATCAGTGTCAGTGTTTCCCCAAAGGGTATTTCATTACTCTGGAAAACATTTGGGGAAGACAATGTCTGAATTATTGCATCACAGTCTATCTGGTTCTCAGCAATTAATGGCCCTGAGATCCCTCCACTCTCTGCCACGGGCTTCACATGTTACTATAAATGGGCATGCCCGTGGATAGCATGGTGACAGATGGTCAGCAGGACTTGTAAGCAAGAATGTGCTCCTAGTCTGTTCTGGGAATTCTTGACAAGTTTCTGCACCCTCCCCCCGTCAGCACATGTGGCCAAACAGTGCGGTCAGGGCCTCTCCAGGGAACAGTGGTATGTACTGGTCCTCGCTGTCTCTGAGCTTCCCCACCAGGGCCTGTATGCAGTCTCTCTTGCTCTCCATCCTGAAACCTACTCTCGGGAAAGCATAAGCCTCGCTCTCAGTAAACAGCCATATAAAGCGTTCATGCTGCCCTAGCTGGTTTGGCTCAATGGATAGAGCGTCGACCTGGGGACTGAAGGGTTCTGAGTTCGATTCCAGTCAAGGGCACAGGCCTAGGTGGGCTCGATCCCTAGTAGGGGGCGTGCAGGAGGCAGCCTATCAATGTTTCTCTCTCATCATTGATGTTTCTATCTCTTTCTCCCTCTCCCTTCCCCTCTAAAAATCAATAAAATATATTTTAAAATAAATAAAGTGCCCATGCTCCCCGCTATACATGCATTTTGACAAGGACTATAGCTTCAGCTAGGGCAAAGCGCTCACTTCTGTTCTATTTCTTCCATCTGGGAAAGCAGCGTCAGGGAAAGTCATTTCGATCAGCTTAAAAAGGAGGATTCAGGCCTACTAGCTAACTGATCCCAGCAGCCAGCAGTCAGACTGCCCTTGTGTCCAAAATGGAGCTTTCACACTGGAATTGGCTTCGTGGGCAGGGAGTGGGCAGTGCGGCACTGGAGGGGCAGCAGGCTCCCAGCATCTGTGAGAACACAGCCTGGGTCCACTGCCTCTGCCAGGCCCTGCTGTGGCTGCGAGCGGCACAGGCTCCCACTGGGCTGGCTGGTCCCAGACCTGGCACTCACATCTCAGCACAGCAGGCGCCAGCAGGGGGGCATTGTGCCTGGGACTCCACCTCCTGCATCTGCATGGGCAGGAATCACGTGGGCTTCCTCTCCCTAACCAAATGTTTCCCAAACTTTTGACATATGTGTACCCCTTCTATAATTTTCATAACGCTGAGTACCCCTCATACTCATGAGAACGTAAAATTAGGTGCAGCTAAGCACGGTGCAGTGCCTATCCCCACCAAACCCAGGTGCAACGTTTATCCCCACCAAACTCTTCCCGTACCCCTGGGGGTACGCGTACCACACTTTTGGGAAACACTGCAACCCATACAGACACCAAATGAACGGGATGCTACCTTAAATCTGAGTAGCTTCTGGTGAGCATAAGTCATAAAAATGCACCTTTTATGTGAGCCGAACAAGAAGGGAATCGCTGGGTTGGCATGTTTAGCCTCCACGTACCCTAACCCGGCTTAAGAAGATTTGGGTGAAAGATTATATCCACAAAAGCAGGACATAAACGTTGAACAGGGGCTCTGCCTCAGCTGAAGGGCAGCCTGCTGAGAGTTTTAAGGGAGACCATGAGACTTACATTGTGCTTGTGGCAGAAATTCACCGCTTGCAACGTCTGCCACGTAAAGCTCTTCACGAGATGCTCTGGGGCCCTAGTGAAAAGAAAGCAGCAGCACAAACATTCTTCAGCGACGCCACGGGATTCAGCTCAAGAAAGAAAAAGAAAAACGTAAACTGAGAAAGGCTTAGATAGGGCAGGCTCCTAGGCTGCACAGAAAGTCATCTCACTCACGGACTCGTCATCCCACAGGCCCATCATACCATCATATGGAACACGGGACCAGCACACGCTGAGCTCTGGGGACACCGGCTCTCACCTGCGGCTCCGGGCTGCGCCCCTGAGGGCCCACAGGACTTCCCGTCTTTATGGCCGCTGACCTCAGATACCTGGACCCCTGGAAGCTGCCCGGTCCCTGAGCTGTTTCTGTAAGAAGCTTTCTGTGGCTGGAAAGTGAGTTAATATACGGCGTACACTATGTCGTTCCTTTTTGGAAAAGGCCCCACGCTGTGGCCTTGCCGCAGAGTTCATCTTCTCTGTGTGCCCAGGACAGGCTCCTGTGGCTTCCCCAGGCTCCTTAGGCAGGATGTTTTTAAGGTAACGAAGCCTTCGCTGACCACAGGGAGGCGGTGTACATGGCACCCCATGTGACAAAAGCTAGCGACAGTCCCTAACGCACCTGGGCCCCTGGTTCTTTCCCACAGGGCTCCTCCCTGGGAGCTAGCCACGGCCCCCTCGTAGCTCTCGGCCTGTCCTCTTTCGCAGCTGCTGAACTTGATGCCACTGCCTCCAGCACGTCTCCCACTGGAAGCTTCTGTAACAGGCAACCAGGAGCTCCAGCAGGCTTGTTGGGAAAATTAAAAAAAAGCACTTCCCGGGGGAGGATTTTTTTTTCTTTTTTTTTAAATTAGGCAATGAGTGAAATAGACTACAGAAAATGCGCATTTATATTCAGAGACCAGCTGAGCCTGGAGCTCTGTAAGGTGACCAGACGTTCCGCTTTTGGCGGGACAGTCCCGATTTTTAACAATTTGTCCTGTGTCCCACGGCGTCTTAAAGAAGTCCCAGTTTTTGGAAAGAAAATCTTAAAACGCTGAGGGACGCGGGACAATTTGTTAAAAATCGGGACTGTCCCGTCAAAAGCGGGACATCTGGTCACCTTACTTATGAGCCAAACATTAAACAATGTTGTTGTGGTCTTCCACCAGAACTAAGAAGTAAGCCAGGGGTGGGGGTGAGGCGGGAGGATGAGCAGAGATAAACCGAAGAACTTACATTCTAGTATGCATAGCCCATGGACACGGACAACAAAGTGGTGAAGACCTGGGGTGGGGGGATCTTGGGTAGAGGTGGGTTAAGGGGGGGAAATGGGAGACATCTGTAACACTGTAAACAATCATTTTCTTAAAAAAGAAGAAGTAAGCCAGGGAGGAAACTCCCAAGTAGCTATGTTAAGGTGACCAAAAAAAGCCACTTCCAGCCGCTGAGAGGGGCCACAAGGTCACTGTTGTCACAGACCAGATGCTGAGGAAATCCTCTCCAGCAGAGAGGAGGATGCTGCCACAGCGGGACACGTGCAAGAGGCCACGTCCAGGAAGGCTGGCTGGACACTTCTACACCTGAACGGTGCCCCTGGCTTCGAGCAGCTTCTCTCCAATCCTCTTCCTCAGCCCAGAGCATATCCGCACAGATTCTAGAAAAACTCTCCTGTCTTAAGAAGGGAGCGTGGAGGACCAACCAGTTAGCCCCGAGAATCCCGAGAGGGCTCAGGAAGGAACAGCCAAGGTCTCTGTGGGGGTGGAAGGGAAGGATGTGGACAAACCTGTTTGGGAAACAATCAAAGCCCTAGGCCCCTTCCCCTCTTCCACTCCCCCAATAGGAAAGTCTCCTCCCCCCGTCAGTAGAAGGCCGTGGTTTGTTTTCTGGGGAGAATAAAATCGAGCACATTTGATACGCTTGAGACGGTGGATTAAAGTTGGGGATTAAATGACTGCAGACATACAAAGTCTAGAATGCGGAGACTCCCCAGCCCTCTTCCTGCACTAGGTCCTGAGAAAGCTGGCAGCCAGACTTTACTCTTTAGGCAAAATATTGGAAGATGTTTTTTGGTGGGAGCTCATGAGGGAGGATCTGAAGTTTGGGGGTCCCCCAGCAAATGGCCCAGCCAGATAACCCCACAGTGAGGTGCCCAGCTTCCGAGAGATCCCTACTCTAAACCATAGACATACAAGATCCTATTTGCCCAGGAGAGTACCAAATAAGAGAGTCAGAGACCAAAACAAACAGAACAAAAGCCACTCAAAAGAAACAGAAACGATGGCGAGAGAAGGGAACATTAGAACAACAACACGGACATCCTCCGAGAAGATGGCGACAGGAAAGCGGCTGCGTCCGTGAACCGGGAACAGGCGCTGTAACCCTGGGGACCTCCAAATAATAGCGGTCCGGGGAAGAGAAAACAGAGAGAACAAAGGCTAGGACGTCAAGAACAAAGCAATTAAAATTTGTTTCCTCAGGCAGAAAGAATCCACCAAGTGCCTCCGTAATGGACACAAAAAGCAAGGCCCATGATTTTAAAATTCAGAATGCAGTGAGTAAAGAGAGGACTCTACAAGCTTCGGGAAATAAAGAAGTAACAGAACTTCACAAAGAAGCAGAAAATAGAAGGACAACAGACTCCTCCACAGCACTGGGAGATAGAAGGCACTTAAAAATGCCTCCAAAATTAAACATCATGGTAAGCCATTCAGAGAAAGACAAGCACCATATGATTTCACTCATATGTGGAATTTAATGTACAAACTGAACTGCCAAGCAAAATAGAGAGAATCATTGCTAGAGAGCAGGCAGACAGCTTGGGGAGGGGGGGGCGTGTACAGGGGGGGACCGACAGTGTGGGTTGGAGGCAGGGTGGTGATGATGGGGATGGGAGGTAGAAAGGGGGATGGCAGGATTGAGTAAAAAAAAAAAAAGGAACTCATGGACATGGACAATAGTGATTTTTGGGGGTGGAGGGGGATGGGTGGAGGTAGAAGACTGCATAGAAGGAATAAATAGTGATAGAAAAAAATTAAACATTTTTAAATGCGTCCACATTTTTGAAGAAATATTATTTTTCACCAAAAATAAACAAAACAGAAATCAAGCGTGAAGAGAAAATACTTTTTAAACTGAGATAAGGTCTCAGTCTCTCTCTTTTTTAAAATTTGTTTTATTGTTGAGAGTATTACAGCTGCCCGCCCCCCCATTTTCTCACTTTTGCCCTCCTCCACCCATCACCCCCACCAGGCCTTCACCCGTCTGTAGCTGAGTCCATGGACTGGGCATATACACTTATAAGTTCTTTGGTTAATCTCTTTTAACCTATCGGCAAGCCCCCTGGAGGATGCTCTCCACCAAAAAGGCATAAACTATCAAAGAAGATGACAGGAGACAGAAAGCTGGAGACCTGGCACAGGAGGGGCAGCGCAGGGCTTCTCGGAGGAGGTGAAGGGAAGTGACGGATGACAATGGCATTAAAGCAGCCAGCCAGCGTGACTCAAGAGCCAGGCATGCTGAGGGTTGTCATCGCCGTGCCCTCTGCCGTATACCATCTTAGACAAATACGAAAATATTTCACAAACAAACTTAAAAGCTTTGGAAGCATCTGGGTATCTGGCCAGACCTTCAGCCTAAAGCAGACATTCTTTTTTTTTTTTTTTTTTTTTTTTTTTTTTAAATCAATCTTTATTGTTCATATTATTACAAAGGTTCCTCATTTCTTCCCCCCTCCACCAGGTTCCCACCCCACCCTCCGTTCCCCCCCCAATCCCCCATTGTCCTCATCCATAGGTGCAGTTTATGTTCAGTCTCTTCTTCCTTCCCTTTCCCCAATAGTAAATCCCTTTTCAGATAGTAAATCAGTTATTTAGCATTTTCTCATATCAATAATACCTCCACATGCCCAATGATACACTTCACACAAAAGACATTTCCCACTAGGTCAACCAGCCTCATCCAGGCCCCACCCAAGGCACTCACAGATCAACACCCCAGTCCTAAACTAACTCAACACATCCAGATCTAAGCCTTCATCACTTGATTCAGCAGACCCTCAAGTTCCCACGAAAGTTTCCAGCCATGTCTGAGAAGCAGCCGTGGGGCAGGGGCAGGCAAGGAGCGAGCTGTTCTGGGCCTGGCTGCTCAGGGCCTGGCCTCTGTTGCTCTGGTTCGTTCCACAACCAGCTGCTCCGGGTCTGGTCACTGCCGCTCCCGACCTAGTTGCTCTGGACTTGGCAGCTGCTGCTCCGGGCCTGGCCGCACCCGACCCGACTGCTCCCCCGGGCCTGGCCGCTCCCAGCCTGGCAGCCGCTCTAAAGCAGACATTCTTAAAGCTGAGGCTTATGCTGGCAGGGTGAAGGAATTCACTCCTCTTCCTAGTGTGTGTTTCCCAAGTGGTGGGGAATGGTGCTCAGACCTCTCATGGCTGAGGTCTGGGGCAGAGTGAGGCAGGGAAGGGGCCCAGTGCTCCCTCATTCTCTATTGTCTCTAGGAGTCCCCTCTCCTTTCCCCTCCCCTCCCTGTACCCTCCCCACCACCACAAGCACCATTCCAGCTCAGAGACAAGCAGTCCCTTTAGTGGAATCATGTATAAACTCAACCTTAGCCTGTGAGGGAAGTGGTGTTGAGCTTTCCCCCTGGCCTGGTTCTCCTCCCCCACCAGGTCAGGCAGTGGGACTTTGAACAAACTAATATCCCCAATTCCTCTTCCTGGTAAACCTGGGCCTCTTGGACTCCCAGCGGCTGGGCAGGTTTCATGGGATTTGTTCTCCTGAGGATGACAGCTCTCCAGACCTAGAAATTCGGATCTTGGGACAGGAAATAAAGGACGCTTGCTTTATTTCCTGTCCCAAGACAAGGTGGAAGGGGCTCAGCAAGGTGTGTCTTCATTCCCTGAGAAGCCCAACGTCTTCCCTGGGGTCTTCAGTCAGTTGCCTCACCGAGAGCTACGGCTTCCTCTGAAGCCCACGGGGCTGTCACTCAGCTCAGCAGAGGCGCCCTTCCCGGGAAGGGGGGATGGGACCCACCTCCCACCATCAGGACAAGGTTGAGGAG